TGGATACCAACCTTTCCTTTACAAGGTGAAGAATCGGATAAAATTGACCAACAAGCATAGCAAGAAATCGAATACCAGGCTCTGCTGCTTCTGAAAAGCCATTAAGATCAGCCTGCAGAGAATCGACTGAAGTGTTCAATAACATATAGAGCATTTGAACTAAAACTGAACCAAAAAGTTCGCAATTTTCTATTTCTGGAATCCAAGTTTAAAGCAATACCTCTAGTTGGGGAAGGAATGGGGCCAGCCGGGTTGTAATGTCTTGAAGCAACTACAAATCCATATTTAGGCAAAAAGATATGTGAACAGTGATTAACACGTGTGTGTGTGTGTGTGTGTACAAACGCAAGGAATGTAAACACAAGCATGTGCCTGTGCATTGAAAAAAATAATGCATAAAATTTATTGTGTTTGTGCAACAACTAACAGTAACAGTGTCTTCCACCTGAAGATGCAAATCAGAAGTATCTTGTCTGTGTGATACTATGTGTGGCAGCAAGTAGTCCACAGCAGGTTGAAACTCTGGTTCAAGCCCAGTAACTGAAATGCCAATCAACTGCACAAAGGTTATAGGAAATGCTGAAGTGGGAACAAGATTCACTAGTATACAGGTAGTAAATTTGAGAAGAGGATAATAGATAGAACCATGTGTTCCACTCTTCATGGCAAGTTAAAAATAAACTTTGGTCACAGATCAGATAATACACAGAAAAAATTAGTGAGAACAACTATCAATCAGTACAAGCAAGTGCAGATCTAAGTGTAACCTGAATGAAGAAAATTGCTATAGGGGAACCCCGCAAGCAAGATATCCGAATATAACGACAAGGAGTATAGTTCATAGGGTACATCATGTCACGTCGAGGTGCCTCACAGCGTGGTCTAGCTTTTGCAAAAGTCTCTGGCTGTCAAGAAAAAATGATTAGCTATAAAGTCATTAAATCATAGAGATTGACTTAAGTATCTTGTGGGTTCAGCTACTTAAGAAGGAAAGATGATTTTAAAATGACGTGTCATGGGCATATAACCACCAAAGAAAGGGACAGCAGAAGCATGCAGGGAAGATATGCAGGTTTCAAGAGGAATCATCCTATCTGAATCTAGAAAGAACAATAAATACCTAAAGCTGGCATCTTTCAGTTAGAAGCTGCAATAATAAGTTCATCATTTCTTTCACAAAAGAAATGCATGATTGCATGGCACATAGACACTAGCCTATCAATTAAGACAGTAAGAAACCCAAAGAAGACTTTAAGATATTTTACCATAGGAAACAAGAGCAAAGATCTAATATATGCAGTAATCAGAGAAGCCATAAGGTGGGGCAAATCCAGATCCACAAAGAACACTAGAAATGTTTCTTTAAAGATCACTCAAAGTTAACATATTCCAAATAATCCTTCTGTACAAATCTTTCAACTTTTCAAGACCATCTTCAATAATTGAAGGAACAATATAAACAAAAATAAATGTCATAATTAAAATGATTGGTCAAATCTCTCTTTCACAAACCTTGTAGCGCAAGCCAACCGAAATTTCCCATTCCAGCACAGATTTATTATATATCCTGATATGTGAAAGCAGACATGGTTCCTGCCATAAGGAAGGCACCAAAAAAAAACAATAAATTTAGTTGAATGTTTCTAAAAATAATTGTCAACAAAAAATTATTTACAGGGAATGGAAACAAAGGTGGTAGCCACTTCCAAACCAAATCTACCAGCAATGCTAAAGGAGCAAAATTATAAATGCAATATGACTTGCATCTAAACAATCAGGGATAAACACATTTGAATTGAATAATTATCTATAGGGCTAAAAAGGAAATGATATCAAAATGTAGGATGTATTCTTTGAACTCAATATTAGCCAATTTAGAATCTTAGACTTCATATTTAATCAATTAGTTGTACAACTTAATAATCTTCTGAAAACAAGTGCATCGCTCCATCTACTGTCAAGTTTTGTGAATATTCAGATTTGATATAATGAACATTAGAAAGTATATCGTGTTGGAAAAAACAAAAACAAAAGTTTTCCTCTCCAGTACAGTTCCTAATCTGGGGAGGCACAGAAGAGAAACAATTAAGGAAATCCATAAATGACACAAAACCAAATTATACACATACACAAGGAAATAACTTAACACTGTGTAAATACACGTAAGCGCACTTATTCCAAATTTGGCAGTTAACTTGGAAACGACCAATTGACTAAAATAAGCATATGTTCAGATAATTGGGCAATAAAACATGTCTTGTTGTCATGATCGCAGTACATGAATGATGTATTTAACAACTCCTTTCAATTTTCCAGGGTTTGTCATCAAGAGTCAAATATCCTAAAGCCAATTAGGTGCAATTGTGCAAACAAAGAAATAAGAAAGAAAACTATAGTCTCACTTCATCAGCTAATGACAATTCTTTATGAAAGGAACCTATAGTAATCTCTCAGATACAGTATGATAATATGAGACCCCAAAATTCATTATTCTAGTCTCCCCAAGAGCTACATTAACAATCAACCATGTCAAAAACCGAAGAAACCACCACCTCAATCTCACAGTTAAGTCCTAATATGTCCACTCCAACCAAGTTAGCAAACAGAGTCAACTCCAGTTTAGCAAAACAACCCATTCAATTCATAAAATTAGTCCGGCTAAGCTACAAAATGCCACAAATTCCTGTGAGCTATACCTCATTTCCTTCTCCACGGAACTATATCAACTTTCAACTTGCAAAAACACCCTAGTAATTCACAGATAACAGCAAAAGAAGCCATGCCCAGTAGAATTTGAGCTATTGGAATTGAAATTATCAACAATGGTGGCAGAAAAATAAAACCAAACAAGAGAACAACAACACAAGAGAATTATACATACATCGAGCTCAAGCAAGATCCACTCTTTGGTGTTGGTTCCAGTGGACCAGTGGTTCCGGAGGTCCGGGTCGAGCACATGCGAGGCCTTCTGCGCCGGAGATTCTCGAGACATGGCCTTCACTTTGAAAGGCAGAGGCTTCACCCTCGGCTCCAACTCCACCTCCATCTCTTCCGCTCCTCTCTATCTCTGTCTCTATCTAGGTTTATCTCTGGATAGATTCTTTCATACAAAGTAGCAGTATAGTATAGACGCTGAAGTATAGCCGGGATTTACAACATTCGCTTGTCTCTCCACCGACCACCGTCGTCGAGGGAGTAATGTAACGACAATAACCACGGCGAATTGTAGTAAAGCCCTTCAAGTTTCGAACAATGTAATATTTACTCCAAAACATTTTTAAGTTAATAACTAGTACCCAATTAAATACACACAATATTTCTATTCATAACCTTTGCAATAATACAATTGTGGGACCCTAAATAAAAAATATATATTATTTGAGTACTGAAAGTACATTATTTTGTATATTATCAAATAATGTATTTTTAATATATTAAAAATATACATTATTGATAGGTATCCCAATTTAGCCGGTTGGCAAGGCAGCCAGGTCAAGGCGTGGCTTGATACTTAGCAGGTGGAGAATCTCCAGGGCCCCTCCCACCCGTCATGTAAGGTGTCCTACGACGGCAATTGTTCATCCTCTGGCGACTAATCTCAACAGCCGGTGCGACGGCAATTGTTCATCCTCGGGTGGGCTCTTGGGCGAGACTCGGTTAGGCGACCAGCCTCGGTAGTCGGTGTGTCTCCGGCTGAACGCCCCGTGGGATTCAGATGGACAACCAGGCTACGCAGGCGGTGCATCCCCAACTGTGCGCTGCCCCGAACCCGACTGGGCGACCAGGCTTTGCAGGCGGAGCGTCCTCGCCTGGATACGATGGCCCGAGAAGATACTCTCATGGCAGCCAGGGCATTTCTGACCGGAAGCGAACCCAGAAACTGATATAAACAGATTCTGCGGAGAAAATCTCCGCTCATTTAAGTAGCTTCTTTAATTAGTCTAAACAGTTTATTATAGTAAGTAGGCAATTGCATCAGTCTTACGTCAGCACTACTCCGTCTTTAGGCTTGACCTTACGTCAACCCTACTTACCTTATACAGACCTCATACTCATGTATAAATATCCCCACGGGATCATCATGTAAGGGATCAGCACTTTGAAGGGTAAAACCCTAGAGAAATAACACCACATTATTCTCTCTCTCTTTAATACTTTATTTCTTGTTTTCATTATCTCGTAAGCACATCTTTCGGTGGTGTTGGCCTGCCAAGCGGCCATCGAGGCTGTGAAAACCAACAATTATATTCAGAGAAAAATATTATTCGAGTACTAACAATACTTTATTTTATATAATGTACATTTAATACACAAATAATGTACTTTTAGTATATTAAAAATCTATTTTTTTATGGCACAACACTACATTAACCACGATCCACATAAAAATTTGCCTAACCTAATGAAATTTTATAATATTGAGATGTATTGTATTTGTTACTTCATACTATAAATAATAAATATCTTAATTTGAGGAGAAAAGCTACAAATTGACACCGATATTAGGAGTTAAATTCATTTATTCATCCTAAAATCTTAATTTAAAAAAGAACAAAAATACCCTTCATAATTTCATATTTTGACATGTCTTAAATGAAAGGGCAACTGGCGTGATAAATCTTAACATTAAAACAATAGTTGTGAATGAAAATTGATAATAAAATAATAGTCGTGGATGAAAATAGTAAAAATTAAATATGTAAATTAAAATTGTATTTTTTTAATATTCGTGAGACCAAAATTGGTATTTGCTCAAAGACAAAGGTACCCCACATCTCCATACCAAACAATTCATTCCCATGTTTAATTGTAATTCAACAAGCTAAACTTCAAATTTCAACATCATCAAATTAAATGGTAAAGTACTAAAGTAGTAATCAAAGTGAAAATAACAACAATAAACATATTGAATAATGATTAAAAAAACAAAAACAAAACAAAACAAAAACAAAAACAAAAAAAAAAAAAAACAAAAACAAATCAAACTAATTTGTGCCATGTCGTAAAAGCAACAATGATTGTCCATATTTGTAGCAACCATTTGTTCACCAACCATACTCCTCCCCACTCAAATAAAAGCCTCCTTTCTGTCTTCCTCTTCACCATCTGCCGATGAAGAAAACGAGAACATGAGAGGCTGAGAGCTTCTCAAGCCTCAAACATGTTTACCATGCAAGAAACAAATTTACTGGGGAAATCCAGAAAATGGATGGTGTTGGCCGCCTGTATTTGGATACAGGCATTTACAGGGACGAACATCGACTTCTCGTCTTATTCCTCGGATTTGAAGCTCGTAATGGGGTTGTCACAGGTGCAGCTCAACTACCTATCCATGGCCTCCGACTTGGGGAAGCTCTTCGGTTGGTGTTCTGGCGTTTCCCTTCTATATTTCCCTGCATGGCTCGTTCTCTTCATCGCTGCTTTCATGGGATTCTTGGGCTACGGTCTTCAATGGCTTGTTATTCAAGAAACCATCATTTTGCCCTTTTTCTCGGTCAGCTTTCTATTCTATCGCTTGATCAATGTGAATACTTATCCTGATACAATCATAAAAATTATTCTATATCCATCACAGAATATGCATATTTAGCAGACACGAGCATTTAAAATCCTAGTTGGTATCATAGATTTCTTTCTCTTTTTTATGTTATTATTACAAAGTTTTCAACTTTTCATGTTTATTTAGTTGAATTAGTTGTTAGATTACAGTTTCAGTTAGGTGAAACATCGCATCTGTTACTCTGCTATAAAGAAAAAAACATTCTAGGAGTTGGTGAGATCAGATATCTAAAGCTCCATATCTCGATCCAAATTAAGAATCCTAACAATGATGTTTTTGTCTCGCTATTTGGTGGTTTATGTTGGAAATTTATTGCAGCATAGATAAAACGAGCAGGGCGTTATATAGATATATATGGAGATTATATAGTTTCAACTTTAGGATTAAATACCGGTTAGCTACGATCAAGATAGATATATGGAAAGTCTTTTAAATCAACACATTCTATCAAAGATGTATATTTCAGAAAGCGGTATGCACCTTTATCGAAGTCGTGAGTGTTGAGCATATAACCATTAATGTGCAATCCAATTATCAATTTAGGCTTTTAGTTGAGATGGAGAACATGTTTCAATTGTGAGCAACTCAACTTTTCCCGTGATTTAGGTATTCCTGCTGTGTCTGCTCTCGGGCTGCAGTATCTGCTGGTTCAACACGGTCTGTTATGTTCTGTGCATCGAGAATTTCCCGGGTAGTAGGGCTTTTGCGTTGTCCCTCAGTGTCAGTTTCAGTGGTATCAGCCCGGCTTTATACAACGTAACGGTTAAGGCTATAAACTCTGAGAATCACGCTCTCTACCTTCTCCTCAACGCCACTTTGCCCCTCATCACGTCGATAGCAGCACTCGTCCCGATCCTCCGGCAGCGCCCTCCTCAAGACGCTGCTCGGAAGATTGATTCTCGGGAATATGGCGTCTTTCTTTGTCACACTATACTTGCAGCTTTCACTGGCCTCTATCTGCTCGTGCTAAATTCGGTCTCGTACAGTACAACAACCGCACAAATCCTCCTTGCCGGGACCATATTCTTGTTGGTCCTTCCAGCATTTACACCAGAAACCGTCCTTCCTACGAGTTATCATTATCAGCAATTGAGTTCCCAGTCTATTGACACCGATAATCTTGAAATCAACAAACAACTCACCGGAGACAATGGTGCAAACGCTAAGGATTCAAGACACAACTCCTGCAGTTCCAAAGAACACATAAGAGATGAAACAACGAGTACTAAGCATTCAACACGGGATTTGTATAGTTCCAAAGATCATTCAGTGATCCTGGGAGAGGAGCATTCCGCCACTGCACTCATCAGCAGCCGGGATTTTTGGCTCTATTACATAGCATATTTCTGCGGGGGAACAATCGGGCTGGCTTACAGCAACAATCTAGGCCAAGTTTCTCAGTCACTCGGGTATAATTCAGACGTTACCGAGCTGGTTGCAGTCTATTCAGCCTGTTCGTTCTTCGGGCGCTTGCTTTCATCCGCCCCAGACTTCCTGCGCCAGTAAGTGAATCAAGAAACAAACTAATATTAGAAACAAACAAACTAATATCGATAAACCTTATTTTTTTTTTTCTAATGCAGAAAGATATACTATGCAAGGACCGGATGGCTTGCGTTTTCACTAGTCCCAATACCAATTGCAATGTATCTTCTCGTTTCATCAGGAAGCAACGCAGCATTAACATTGGCCACAGCTCTAATCGGACTGAGTTCCGGGTTTGTATTCTCGACAGCAGTGTCAATCACATCAGAGCTGTTTGGCCCCCATAGCACCCGGGTCAATCACAACATTCTCATCACTGGCATCCCCCTCGGGTCACTACTCTACGGCCTTCTTGCAGCTCTAGTCTACGAAACAAATCTACGGGAAACAAATCATTTCACTCTGTCCGATAGACCCAAGGTTTGCATGGGAAGAAAATGTTACACCGAGACATTTATGTGGTGGGGATGCATCTCCATGTTCGGGTTGGTTTCCAGTGTACTTCTTTATTTAAGAACCAAACCCGCTTATGAGCGTGTGGAGAGGGATAGAATGTGCACACAGTTTTTGTAACGAGCCTTATATTTTTTGAATACTACTGACTCTGTTACAATGCAGTATCTGTTCATAACTACTTTCTCAACCTAATGTCTGGAAACTAAAAAACATACGTCAATAGTGGGTGGAAAGAACACTAAACATGACAAAAACGACAACCTCATAGTCTACGAAATATCCCATCCATAGAAATCAATGTGTTTTAACTCATGTTAGCATATATACCGAAATGGAAACCTATAAACAAGCTTGCCAGCGGCAAAACAAAGAAATAGATCAACTTATCTTACTGCTACAATTAATGAGCAAAAATTTACGAGGGAAGAGAGAATTTTCTAGTTGTATACTAACAAAAGAAACACAAGTGGTGAAGAACACCATTTTCTTACTCTCAATAGAGCAGAGTGCCAATTATACAATCGGTGCACCATATAAGTGATTTTCTCTTCTCGAGCCATCACTAAACTTCTTGTTGTTTTCTTTCTTTCATTTCTTTTTCTTTTTATTGTTTAGAAAAGAAGGGAGAAAGAGCACTCTCCTCCCCGCTTTTTCCATTGGAGGCATCCACAAGTAACAATGATTTGCTATTATTTGAAACCAAAAACATTTTATCATGGCCAGCAAGTTTTAAAGTTTTAAAATTTAGCATGCGCATATAAGAACAACAAGATCAAATTCTGAACTTCAAATCAAGGCAAAATATTGTGATTATTGTCACAGATGAATTCCTCCTAGTCGAAGCTATGCTAGCCAAAAGGTAGACAGAACTATGGACTAATTCAGATGGAACCAAAGCATTCTAGAACGAAATTTCTAGCATTGATGTATTTTCATTTCAGATTCATAAAAGATCATAAATTTCAATGGTAGTCAACAAACACTATCAGAATTCAGAAAAGAGAAAGACCATCCATCCTTCATTCTTTCTATTCCTTCTTCTCCACTGCCTCTCCCTTTGGCTTTTTGGATGTTGCCTGTGAGTACAAGAAAGTCCCCAAAATCGCGATGGCCGAGCCAAGAGCATTCAATGGCCTGACTGGATTCCTGAAAACGAACACGGTGGAGACAATCACCACCACTCTCTTCATCGTATTGCCTACCGAAAACGTTAGAGGGCTAATGTCATCCAAAGCCTGATAAGATGATTGGTTGTATAGATGGTAAAAGATCCCAGACACAAGAACCCATATATAGAAGGTTGATGGAGTTCCTATAGTAGTAATGGCTTTGTGATATCCTGCAACCCATTGAGAGCCTTCAACAAACACTGCCACTGGGAACAGATAAGCAAATGATAGGATAGTAATCCAGCCATACAAGTTCAACCCATCCACCTCCTTAAAGTTCTGCAAGCTTTTCTTGGAGTAAATGTTCCTAAGAACAAACCCAACATTGCTAATCATAGCCCCCCACAGGCCCTCAAAGTTGAAGGACACTTCAGTTATTGCAGCCAGAGAGCAACCAAACACAATGGGCAGAATTGAAAGCCAGACCTTTAGAGGATAGGTATCCCCCAGGAAAGATGAAAACACAACAGAAAACACAGGCTCTGCAGATTTGATAACATGGGTGAATGAAACAGCCACCTTAGAAAAGGAGACACAAGCAGAGATATGGCCTATTGTGTGGAACAAAGCAGGCCCAAGAAGTGCAACAATGAAGGATTTTGATATCTTGGGGCAAGACTGGAGCTTGGAATACCAGAGCACAAGCATCCAAACAGACCCACAGAGCAGCTGAAATGAAGCAAGGAGCCATGGAAATGGGAAGATATTGAGCACCTTCTTGTTGTATATGTTGAAAACAATGTTCTGGAAGTACCAAAGACCAAAAATCAAAGCTAGCTTGAAATTCTTCTTTGGCTTCGCCTCAATCTGAGCATCCGGGCCGGCCTCTTCTGGGCTTCCGGAGACTGCTCTGACGATCTGAGAACCATTTCTCGAAGAAAACCCAATTGGGTACTTCAAGATTCTGGAAAAATCGGAACTTGAGCATGGGATCTGAAGAAGATTCGACTGGGACAGTTTGAACCCAGCTTCAGCAGCTCGAAAATACGGAAGGCTCCTCAGCTTTTGGTTTCTGCTCACGAGATTGGGATCCAAAAGTGAAGAATTGATGGGATATTTAAGGTTGGGTCTGGAGAAAGTGACATTTGAGGAGGGAAGAAGATTTAAAGATAGCATTTTTGGAAGAGAACTCAGTGATTCTGCAACCAAAACGCAGGAGAAACAGGGCTGTGATGATACTCCCTATGTGGGTAGATTTTCTACTCTCTTATACAATAAGGTAGAGCAGCCATTCAAAGTTCAAACGACAAAACCAGCCAGCCATTCACCTACCAACGCCAGAGGGCAGAGACTATTGTGCTTTAGCGAGATGCACAGCACATGCTAATCCTGGGAAACCGTAAATTAGTTTTTGCATTTTGTACTTATTAAGAAAAAATGTTTTTTTTTTAACCTTTAAGGAAAATCTTAAGCTCACAATCTTATATATTTTCTCCCTGTTTTTGCATTTTGTACTTATTAAGGAAATTGTTTCTTTTAACCCATTTGAAAATGTTTATGCTCGCAATCTTGAATCTTACGGAGTATATATTTTATCCATGTCTGGTGGTTCAGTTAATAGGAGTATACTAAAGTTATTTATAATTCATATCTTTTTTTAATATTGAATTTAATGTAAATATATAAAGTTTATATATTTATTTATAAATTACATTTTACATATCAAAAATTAAATTAAAAATTTATAATAAAATAAATAACAAAAAATGAGTTGATTGACTAATATGTATTAAGCATGACAGGTAAAATAAGATAGATGGAATATAAGTTTGAAACGTAAGATTTTTTCACCATTCATAATTTGGAGGTTGATGGAGCAATAAGTCATGATTCAACCGTTTATCGAAGACCATAGTTTTATGTTCTTACAATTTTACATAGATTTAAAAACAAAAAAAAAAAAAACAAAAAAAACAAAAAAACAAAAAAACAAAAAAAAAAAACAGAAAATATAACACAACAATTTAGACTAGATGCCGAGCAATATCCATCATGCATGTTAAAAAGTTTAAAAGATTTTTACTAGACTTTCTCTAATAATATTTAAACTCCGAATACAATGTTTTACATATATTCATCAATTACTTTTACTTTAATAAAATTTGTGTGGAGTAATTAACAACACATAAAACAACAAGCCCCACAAAGTCAATGTGGGATGTGGGGATGGGGATGGGATTGTTAGTGTTTTCGCTTGGAGTCAAATAAAAAGCGAGTCTTGTCTAATGAATAAGTATCTTCGATCTAAAAAATTATTTAATAAGTACGTTTAATTTGGAATTATAATTTAAAGAAAATGTTTCGTTTACTTACTTTTGATAAATATTACTTTTATCATATGTTGTAATATTATCTATATCTATAAAAACAATTATGACTCTTTTGGGGATGTGGGGATGGGGATGTGATTGTTAGTGTTTTCCTTTTGAGTCACATAAAAAGCGAGTTTTGTCTAATGAATAAGTATCTTCGATCGAATAAATTATTTAATGAGTACGTTTAATTTGGAATTATAATTTAAAGAAAATGTTTCGTTTACTTACTTTTGATAAATATTACTTTTATCATATGTTGTAATATTATTTATATCTATAAAAACAATTATGACTCTTTTTGGGATGTGGGGATGGGGATGAGATTGCTAGTGTTTTCGTTTTGAGTCACATAAAAAGCGAGTCTTGTCTAATGAATAAATATCTTCGATCTAAGAAATTATTTAATGAGTACGTTTAATTTGGAATTATAATTTAAAGAAAATGTTTCGTTTACTTACTTTTGATAAATATTACTTTTATCATATGTTGTAATATTATCTATATCTATAAAAACAATTATGACTCTTTTTGGGATGTGGGGATGGGGATGAGATTACTAGTGTTTTCGTTTTGAGTCACATAAAAAGCGAGTCTTGTCTAATGAATAAATATCTTCGATCTAAGAAATTATTTAATGAGTACGTTTAATTTGGAATTATAATTTAAAGAAAATGTTTTACTTACTTACTTTTGATAAATATTACTTTTATCATATGTTGTAATATTATTTATTTATATAAAAACAATGATGACTCTTTTTGGGATGTGGGGATGGGATTGTTAGTGTTTTCGCTTGGAGTCACATAAAAAGCGAGTCTTGTCTAATGAATAAGTATCCTCGATTTAATAAATTATTTAATGAGTACGTTTAATTTGGAGTAATAATTAAAAAAAAAATGTTTCGTTTACTTACTTATGATAAATATTACATTTATCATAGATCTATATCTATAAAAACAATTATGACTCTTTAAAAAAAAATTGAAATATTCAATATTGTACACACACACAAAATCAAATTATGTTTAACCGTTAAAGTTAGTCATGGTACATATCATCTCTCACAAGTCACATGTGACCGAGAACCAATTCATCACCACATGTACCGTTAAAGTTAATCATCGTTCTTACTCATATCCTCTCTCACATAGTCACATGTAGGGATGTCAATTGGGCTAGCCCTGCAGGGCTATTGGGCTTATCGACTTTGGTTAAATGATTTTTTGTTTTTAACTTTTTTAGTTGGGTTGGCCCTAATACTAAATTATGGGCTATTGGAGTAATCCAGCGAACTGAATCACTAACCAAAATTTGAAAAATAAGAGTGGGTATCCACATTCAGCGAAGTGAGATGAATTTAAAAAAAAAAAAAATACATATGACGTCGATGAGTTGAAACGGAATATATATACATATACTACACCGTACTACATACATACATACAGACTATATACTATATATGCTATATACTATACATACATATATACTACACTACATATATACTATATATGCTATATACTATACATACATACACATGTGATTACGAAATAACTCACTTTCGCTCACTTTTTCTTTTAACCAAATGTTTCCCTTTAACAATCCACCCCACCCCATCCCCCCCCCCCCCGCCCCCGCCCCCCAATTTTATATTTAAATTTTCTCCCTTATCATGTACTTTTTTTTGTTAGTGTTATTAACTCTGTTACAATGCAGTATATATCAATAGGTCATTTTCAATCATTATGCATTATTTACATATTAGTGGTCTCTCATTGACTCTAAAGATCTCTTATTTGAAGAAGTAATGAAATTAAAATTGTTAAAATAGACGAGTGATTGCGAGATTAAAATAATAGTACATTACATTGTATACAAACTGTGCATAAATAATTCATTAATTACTTATTATTTGTAAATAATTAATGAAAAGTTTAGTAACTCTAAAAGTTATATTAAAATAATAATTACTTTGGTTGTAATGAAGTCAAAACATTATTCTAAAAATAAATACGTGTTGAGTGAACAATTAAAGTTTTATAATGGTCTAATTGTTCCAAATGCACTTACTCATACGATATATATTTTTAATTAAGTTAAAGTGAGCATACTCCTTGTGCACATTAGCATTTGATCTTATATATTGAGTTATGAATTATTGTGATTTATATCATTTCAAATTCTGTGTGGGGCCAGAGTGTGACACTATTGAGTTTAGGGATTCAACAATTTTAGATAAGAGATATGTAACTCCTTAGAAGTAACACAGTGAAAAATGAAGAATATGCACAAATCATAATATTAATTAAGGATTTGTTAGTTGTACTATAATTAAAAAAATGCACATATTGCATATTTGAATTGTCTCAATTATTAAATAATGAACTATAGTTTGATGGTATCAACTATTACGGTTACCTTTTAAAATGAAAGGTATCAAATTTAAGTATCATTTAGATTGAGAATATTAACATGTTGAGCAGATACTAAGAGTATAACGGTATAAATAGACTAGATTCGATAAAAAAAAAAAAAGTTAGTTATGGTATGTTCACATTTAAAATAATTATCTAGTGTTTATACGAGGCGGGTTCAGGTGCGGCAGTGTCTTACGATGCGGTTATTTCTTACGGTGCGGCAACACCAATAGTTCACCAAATATGCACCATCAACGTTAGGAAATACACCACACAAAACAGAGTAAACAGAGCCCTGCATCACCAAACACACACCATTAGGTGTGAGTAAAAACACCATACACTGTTCGGAAATACACCATTGGGGGTGGTGAGTTATATGGTGTGTTTTTTTGAGTCTGTGGTGTATTTTGTGATGTTTTACTACATTTCATTGGGGTGTGGTTTTATTACACTGTTGGTGCATATTGTTAACACTGTTGGTGTATTATGGAATTTGACCGCACCGCCGCACCGTAAGACCCCGCCGCATATGAGCACTCTTCGTGTTTATACTTAATAATTTGTTTTTACTATATTAATTTATTTTACTTAAAAAAATATATACGTATGATATATTCGATTAATCTACATGTAATTAATAAAAACAAAGAGTTTTTAAATAATATTGCATTATTAGTTAACACTAAGAAATAAATTGAATATATATATATATATATATATATATTTTAAATGATTATATTTACATATAATTACAATTTAAGAAGTGCACAATTATTACAGTTGAGTTTTTTTTTTTTTTTTTTTTTTTTTTTTTTTTTTTTTTAATAATTAATTTATAAATAATTCTTAATTTAAACTTCTCCCAAATTCAAATACTACACTGCAAAAAGAGCCAGATCGCTTGCAGTCCAAACAGTAAAACCAACATTCAATTCGAGTCATCTTCCGCTTATCTCACAGTGATCCGAGGAGAATTCCGGCGTTGAATTCAATCCACTCCGGCGGGGAATGGCGGCGAAGCAGATGGAAGAGATACAGAGGAAACTGGCGATGCTCAACTACCCGAGAGCCAACGCCCCTGCCCAGGCGCTCCTTTTCGCCGGCATGGAGCGCTACGCCCTTCTCGAATGGCTCTTCTTCAAGTACTCTTCTCTCCTCTCTAAACACTCGCATATGTAACCGGGTCTGTATCGGAAGTGTGATAAGGCTGCGACCTTTGATGAATTTGCAGGCTGTTGGGCGACAAATCTCCATTTTCGCAGCAGAATTTACAAGGGGATCCCGCAGATCGCGACGAGGAGACCTCTCGCATTCAATGTATTTCTCTATCCTTCTTAAACCTTTTATCCGGATTAGATAATTCGTTAGTATTTGGCTAAAATGAGACCTCTCGCATTCAGTATGAAACCGTGCCGTCTTTGGCTGTAAAGTTTACTGCTGCTCGTAATTGGAGTTAGAAGATAAAAATTTCACCGTAGTTGAAATTTCTAATTTTGGCTGCAAGTTCACCAGCTCAAATCTGTATTGTTCATAGAAATTACAGTAGAAGAATTTTAAGGAACTCATTTTAGATTCTCAGTGTTTGTTTGTTTTATGGATTGGATTTGGTGTGCTGATTGACCTGCCGTAGGGTACACACTCTAACTCGTTATGACACAATCATTTCTTAAAGTTTAGTTTAGGGTATTATATGACCTTGATTGGTGCAAAAGGTTTGTGCTCTTGCAGATCTGGCAGAGATTGCAAAATTTCTGGGTATAACTACCACAGTGGACACGGAGGCAATACAAGTGAGTTTGATTGCATTTCCCTGCTGCTATAGAATATTTTATATTATTGCATTTTCTCACAGCCAACCCGAGTAGACTAGGAGTAAGGGTTAGTTGTGCTGCATTTTCTTGTAGGCCACTTGTGATCATGAAAATGTGATGCTAACTTTTCCTTGATGTTAGTTATTTGGCTTATGGTGAGTCTGGGAAGGTTTGAGGGGTTTATGGAAGTGGAATTCGTATAATATTGTAGGCTTCAGGAAAAAAAAAATTATCTTCCTCTCCATTAAAAGGCTCTTATTGCACCTAATTGCCAAGAATATCCTTAAGAAATTCATCCATACACATGGTGGAGCAAGTAAATTATGCACCTGCTATTTTATTTGCTTTGTTGTAAGTAGGATCCTTGTAACCTGTAAGTTCCATTTCCAGTTGCTAATCACTAACATAGATCTTTCCTGTTCCAATCCTTCGGTTGCAGGGGAGAGGTAGCTATGAAGATCGTACAGAAATGCTACGTCTGATTGTTGATCTTGTGGAGGCAAGCTTGTATGCTGATAATCATGAATGGAGGTTAGACTTTTACTTAAAGTTGATATTGATTAGAACTCTTTAAATTTTGATATATATGATTCCAGATCTAGATTTGAAGTTTGGAATTTATTGATGAATTTATTTATTTATTTTTGGTGTTTCTCTCCTGTAGTGTTGATGAGCAGGTAGCTAAGGACATACAACTAATTGATGCCATTGCTGAGAAACAAGCACAAATTTTTTCTGAAGAGTGCAAGTTGTTTCCCGCAGATGTTCAGATCCAATCCATATATCCATTGTAAGAAACACCCTTTTTTGTATAGTTAATTGATGAGTTTCTTAAGAACTAGTTGCATTGATATGTGAGAGAGGGAGAGTGAGAAACAATGGAAGAGAAGTGAGGAAACAAGAAAAACAACTTTCTAACTGTTAGGGGCTGAAAAGATATAAGAGGGTAGAGACTAAAGAGGCCCTTTTCTGTTTCTAGTGTCAATTGATTTATGAAATATCCCTCTATTAGTGAAAAAGTAATATATCATGGGTTTGCTGGTAGCGGGAAAAAGTAACAACAAAAACAACAGCATAGCATTTTCTTTACCTTCACCACATTCACCAGATGTAACAACTGTATATTACTTCAATCCAAGTTCACTTGCAGGCCAGACATTGCTGATTTGGAGAAGCAACTCTCAGATCAATCTAACAGACTTCTTAGTCTTCAAGAGATGGTTGATGATTTAGCATCAAAGGTTATACCTTTTTGGAGCCTGATACTCCTTTCAATCACAGTCTTGCTTCTGTTGGCATTCATATCACTTTCTCGATGTCATGTTTTCTTAGGTCACTGAGTTTATTTTTGATAAATTTTTGGTGTACAGCATCCATATAATCCAGACGAGGACTATGTGGAGGTTGAAGCAAAGTTGCGGGCCCATTTAGAAACCTTTTTAGAAACTGCAAGATCCTTTAATACAATTTACACTAAGGTTGGCTTTCATTCACTCTTTTAAGAAACTTGTGCTTATTGCTTACTCTCTCTCTCTCTCTCTCTCTCTCTCTCTCTCTCTCTCTCTCTCTCTCTCCTGTCTCTTTTAAAATTAAGTAAAGGCATATATCTGGTGACACTTTTTAAAGTAATCCCATTGAGTATTGCTAATTCATGTTCTACTCGTTCTGGAGTTGGTGCTTTATGATTCTAACTCTCCAACAGTTCCATTGTTTTCATACTTAAAATTGCTCACACTTAATTCTAAACTGCTTGGAATCAATTATTTAAAAAATTTCCCTTTAAATTTTTTGAAATTTGTTCACAAGTTCTTTGGAATGTTTGGATTATACTTCACTTGTATTTCTATATGGGTGCTTTCAAATCTACAATGCCCTCTGGAGTTGTAATCACACTACCCATTTTTTTCACCATAAACATGTTAGGACTCGGTGGCAGATCCAAGATTTTGAAAGAACATGTTCACACTAATTAATATACACACTACTGATTATGCATTTTCTTTATTTTAAGTTTCTCCTTGTTGGCTAGTATGCAATAAAATTTAATGGGGCAAGTGGCCACTGCTGAAGGGGTAGTTTTCTGCCGGTTGGATAATTGTTCTTATTGTTATTTTAACATTTATAGGAAATTCGTCCCTGGACACACATGATGGAGGTACCGCAATTGCATGGATTTGGGCCAGCTGCCAATAGATTGTTGGAAGCATATAAGATGCTTTGGAAGGTACTTTATGTGAACTTCTTTCCTCTCTTAATTGTTGACAATTGTTATACCCAAAATGCCACAGTATATCTTCGAGGCTTTGCGCCATTTCAAAGTGAACTCTCATTGAATCCTTTAGTATATTTTATATCTCTTATTGCCAATTCTAACATTGTAGTCTATGAATTTTCTTTTTATTTTATTTATTCTAAATCAAATTTAAACCTCCACTGTATATATACTCTATTGATCAATGCACCCAATGAAGCTTCTCAGTTTTCAAAAGTTCTTGTTTGTATTTATGCTTTGAAGAGAGAAACAAAGACAACATTAGGTGTTATACGCTAGGAAGACAATGGTTTACCATTGGATTTCTGTCATCATTAGTTTTAGCTACTAAGCAGACTTCTGAAGCCCCGATTAACCAGAAAAATGGCACATTTAATTACACTTCTATTTGTTGTTGATACGAGACTGATCCTTCTTAATTCTTTTGCGTGTCATCTTCCAACTTTGACAGTTCCTAGGGAACTTGAAGAATCTCCGAGACTCTCATGCAGCCGTTGCTGTTGGGTCATCAGAAACAGTTGCAGGGGAGCCATCTTCTGTCACAAGAATAATCTCAGAATGCGAAACTGCCTTAACATTACTAAACCGCGATCTAGCCATTCTTTCAGCCTCCATTGCTCGCGAGCAAGGGGAGGATGCCACCTCGTGAGCATAAGTAGAGGAGAAGAGCACACATCATAGTAATTTGCTCTCTTACAGCAACCTTTTGTCCCTATTTTTGTCAAATATATTAACCAATTTAATGATTTATGGATCATTCTCTGAGAGGTTGAATCTGATTGTGCATTAGTTCTGTGTATTCTGGTTATGAGTTTTCTGCAGATTCTGGTTTTCCATTTCTCAGCAAAAATTGAAAGATGAATGAAAATGAGATATGTTTCAATTGCTTCTTCCACAATATGTACAGATTTGTAATTTCCACATTTGGCTCTCAAAAGAATTGCAGTAATCAGAGAGTTGTGACCTGTGGGCATGTGCCACGTGGCAGGGCTAGGAATAGAAGAACAAATCATCAGCGATGTTCACCTGATCTCTCAGTGCGGGAGCAGGCACCTGATCCTCATCTCCTTCTCCACTGTCAACAGAAGATAGGGTTACATCTTCTGGTAGCTGATCTTCATCGGACGGGAGAGATTGTGCCGCGTCTTCGTAGGCTGATTCAGCCGTCAAAGCTTCGCCGTCTTCCAGCAATGACCTGGCGGGAACAGGACAGAGGAGATCTCCGCCTTCAATCTCGACCGGGAAATCCGAGATTCTACACTGAGTTTCATGCGCGTCGGCTGTTAGGGGCGGCGATAGCAGTAACGGCAGCTGCGGCGGTAGCGGTAACGGCAGCTGCGGCGGTTCAAAATGAGTTGGAGGCGGAGGAATTTGCGCGGCGCTGCCGGAACCAAGGAGGTTGCCGGTGTCGTAATCTAAGGGTGCTGAAACGGAAAAGACTACGATCCAGCGGTTACGATAGAGCTCCGTGCTGTTGACGCGAACGCCGTTAACAGTGACGGCGCCGTCGACGGAATCCACCATGATCGTCCGGTTCGCCGCCAGAGTCTGGAAAATCGTGATTTTCGGCGGATATCTCGCGAGATCCTCTAAACGGTGCCGCGTAGGCAAAACGTGGCTTCGGAAATCGAAACTGAACCCGCCGGGTCTCGAGAACAGCGCCCGATCAGACGGCGCGAACAGCGAAACGGCGCCCAATCTTAACATCTCCGACCGCTTGATAGATAAGCCCGCAGCCGCGACTGTGAATCCCCTCCGCCTGATAGCTCTAACCGCGTGATCAAGAAACTTGCGGTCGACCAACGGCGGCTGAACCGCCGGCGTATGATCTCTCGACTCGGAGCATTTCGAGGCTGACGTGGGGTCCAGTATACCGTCGACTCCATGGACGACGAGATGATCGTCGACGTACATATCAGGCTGTTTGATTCTAATCGCCGAGATTGGTTTCTTGGACGCAGAAACCGAAACAGAAACGGCCCCATTGGAATTCTTTAGGAAGAAGCAATCGCCTTTGTAGAACGTCGGGAGCTCGTTACCGTCCACGAGCGACGAGAGATTGTGCCACGTGAGGGGCTCCCGGAGGGTGTGGTAGAGCAAGACGGCTGCGGACGGCCGCAGCGGCGGCACGCGGTGGTTGGGGGAGAACTTGCCAACGGTAAACGAGAATGCAAAGTCCGGTGGCGCCAAGATGGTGCCGGAGAAGTTGTTACTGGATGTAACAGTGGAGAGGAGGGTGGAGGCAATGAGAGAGTAGCCGCGGGTGCGGAGGATCTCGGCAGCGGCATAGACAGAGGGCGGCGGTCCGGGGGTGGTGGTTGCGGTGGACGCCGCCCACGTGATGAGGAGGCAAAAGAGTGGAAGAGAGAAGGTAAGGATGTTGAGGGAACCGTAGCGGCGAAAGTCCATAGCTTTTTGCAGTGTATCGGAAAATCAAGAATGGATGCATGCAAGCGGATTCAAATATGGTGGACTTTTACAGAAGTCGATGATTATATTGGCCTTGCAACGAGAATAACCGTCTTTTTGGCGGGAATAACTGTACTACCTGACGGACCTATTGCGATAATTGGGCGGCAATAACTAGATCGGCCCATTAATTAGAAGTAAAACACAATAAAGCCCAAGGCAATATGCCTTTTAATTAAATTAATAATTAATAATAGGGAAAATGGCACTTTTCCCCCTTCGTTATATACTTATAGCACTTTTCCCTCCTAAATTATTTAAGTGGCAGTTTTTTCCCTGATATATTAAATGGACATATTTACCCTTAAAATAAATATTTCATTTATTTTTCTTCTCCAACAAATTATAACCAAGATTTGAAAAAATAAAATACATTAAGTGTTAAATTTAGAATATTTTAAAAATAAAAAAAAATAAAATTTTAAAAGAAAGTTTGAACCAACCGTTCAAATTGGATCCAAAATCGTGAACCGACGGTTCAAAATAAAACTCAAATCGCGATTATATATACTTATATGTGAGAGTCAATATAAATGCGGAAAAAAACATGCACTATTTGCAAATATTATAATTCTAATTTAAGCTATTGCTAGTAGTTGTTCCGATTTGAACCTCCGGTTCACGGTTTAGGATCCATTTTTTTTCCAGTTCACGATTTTAATAAACGGAAACCCAAATATTGGGTTATGTTATGAATCATAACCGAAATTTTTTAATTTGATTGCTATAGTGTTTGGTTCAGTTCGAACCGAACCGTGGTCATCCCTACGTATAAGCAATAATTTGGTAAAGAAGAGAAATAAATAAAATATTTGTTTTAAGGGTAGAAATGTCCATTTAATATTATCAGGGGGAAAAACCGCCACTTCTATAATAATTGAGGGGACAAATGTGAATGCATGAATAACTCAGGGGGAAAAAGTGCTATAAGCATATAACACAGGGGGAAAAAGTGCCATTTTCCCTTAATAATACGGAGTACTTCTTCCAAAACTAATTTTGATAATAAAGAAAAAGATTAAAAAGAAGTGGACCCTTGCGAGTGTGTATATATATGGAAACTTTAAGATATTGATCTCGTGGTCGACATTTATAAGTTGATGATGATAATGTTTTGATACAGGTACCTTATAGCTTCTTGCGTTCTTTCCATGTTTTCTTTTGTTGTCACTTCCACCATAAATTAATTCTTGATTTAATACAGTACACGTACTGTTATGCTTTACAATTATAGTGTATTAGCCCTGTGCATCTTCAAAAACAAAACATAATTTTACGTCTGTGTTGAATATATACAATAAATTAGGTGTATCGTTTCATCAATGTCAATGCGTGATTCTAATTAATTGGTCAAAATTCATGTTAAATTTTATATTGTATTTTTAAAAATATTGTGTCAATTTTGATTTTGATGGAGTTCGAACCTAAGACCTTCCTTATAAAAATTAATGAGTAAGTTAAAAATAATAAATAGTTAACGGAATATTTCGTACTAAAGTTTACCCTGATAGAATACAGTGGTATTTAGAAAAAGTAAATAATATAAAAGAGGGTAAAATATGATATAATAATAAAAATATTAAAATTAAAATACTATGAACCATTTATTTCAACAAACAATTACACTAACATTTATTTATGTTCCGTTAGAGAGGTTTGTAACTTTTCATAACCTTTAGTTTGTATTTTTTTTCATTGTAAGAGAAAAACAACACAAGTACATATGATATTTAATAAAATGTTACATTGTCACTTTAATACAATTAATCATAACTTTTTACATAAAGATGTTATTATTATTATTTTTTTTTGGAAAATAACAACTTTTATTAATAAAGATGTGCAATACAATCAATAACAATAATATAAGATAACCAAACAATATAATCAGCTTGATAACGAGCTGTCATTGCTAAAGTATGAACAAGCTTATTTTCTGATCGATGGATAAACTGGCAAGACACCATCTCAAAGTGTCATTTGAAATCTCAGCACTCGTTGATCACACAATCTGCATAAGAATGAACAAACTTATTCGTTGATCGATTGATAAACAGGCAAGACACCACCTCAAAGTGTCATTTGAAATCTCGGCACTCATTAATCACACAAACCTGCATAAAAATGGTCGAGTACAGTGCCATTTATCATTTTGACAATCTGATAAAACAGAGATCCTTAATAAGTTCGGATCCTAAAGCCTCTTTGACCGCTTCGGCCAAATGGGATCCAACATGCCAACGACCCATTATTCGCCGCCACAATTCCCACAAAGTTACCATGCTCATCATTAATCACAATTCCATAAAAAAGCCTGACCAGTATCATTAAATACGACTGCATCCCATATATCATAAAGTTTCCCTAAGCTACATGCACAGAACTAGTAGTTGGAATAATATCTTGTGGATTACTAAATAAAAAAAATAAAGAATTTCATTAATTTTTTTGTTGGTCTATAGGATAGTTTGAGCTAAAAGTTTTACGAGGGGTTTGGTTATAGAATGAAAGAATTATGGGAGAAAAGAATTATAATTCGGTTAAAAAGAATAAGATTGAATAAAATATGAATAAAAAGTTTTACGATGTCGAGCTTCCTCGAGAGCTTTCCCAAGCTTATAGAGTTGTAGGTTTTGAGAGCTCATTTGTCACTTGAGTTATCCCTTTATATTATATAACTATTGAAATTGAGAATGAAATAAGCGGTATAAAAATTAAAATACACTTGTGTAATGTGTAATAATAATAATAGTAATAATAACTCAGGGTTGTAGTGTCATTTCATATATTTTTTCATTTCCCACGACCCTTGAATTGCAATTCAACAAAATGAGGGAATTGCAATTCTCTAAAACCAAACATGGTAATTGGAATGACAAAAAGTTGGGATGGAATTGAAATGCAATTCATGTATACCAAACAACCCATTATTGTTTGGCTTATTTTCAAAAAGAAAAAAGTTACTTAGAAAAGGGACTATGGGTCTTCAATAGTCATAATGTTTATTGTTTGATATATTGTGATTTCGTTCGAGCTAAATAAATTGTGATAATAAAATTTATTAATTTTGTTGCGTTACGAGTATGACATGACTTATATTTTCGTTTTTTTTTTAACCCAAAATATTTATATATTTATATTTATATTTATATTATAACAAATAAATGAAAGACATTGGGAAAAAAAGGAAATTATGTTTAAAAGAAAATTTGGGCTATTAGCAATACAAAAATAAATAAATTTTAAATTCCCTCAACGAGGAGGGAGTCAGTCCATTTATTTATTTATTTAAATCTGTATTTATGTCTTTGCGAAAATAACACAGATAATTTTAGTGAGTCAAAATGTTTAAATAAAATATTAAAATAAGTGACCGACCGACTTTATTTATTTTTAAGATTTTAATTTTCAAATAGCACAATTTTTTTTTACCGTTGGAGTTCGGGGTTTCCTATTTATAAGCGGGTTGGGTTTCCTATTTTTTTTTACCGTTGGAGTCACAATTTTTTTTTTTTTTTTTTTTTTTTTTTTTTTTTTCGGCCGTTCTCTCCGTCTCAAACAGTCTCTCCCAGTCTCCTGCACCAGCCTTCCGCCGGAAACGGTCGCGTCGAATTTCAGGTTAATGCCCGCAAAATTTGTTTGCCCTCAGATTTAGGGTTTCCTATTTCCAAGCAGTTTAGATTTCCTATTTCTTTGTTTCTTCGGAGTTCTCTCCCACCCCTAAAATTCTCTCCGTCTCAAACACTCTCTACCGCGCCAATCCGCCGGAAACGGGCACCGGGGGACGTCGAATTTCAGGTGAATGCCGGCCCCTAAAGTAGGATTTGGAGGGTAAAAAAGTTGCAGCCATGAAGCTATGATCGGGGGAGGCAGAGTCACTGATTTATTTCATTGTAAGTTGCTCTCTCTTGTGTATGCATTTGTGGAAAAAAGATCAAAAAAGAGAAGGGAAAAGGTAAAGTCTAAAGTACAGTGTAAAGAAAGAAATTACCCACCTTCTGACTGGTAAAATAATTGATGAATTGGCCCAAGAGATTGCCTATACACTGTTCCTCATCATGATTAACTTCTTCTCTATTTGTATTATCTTACAAATTTATTTTATTTTGTCATAATACTTTGTAACAGGTTATAGTGCACTTTTGCAGTTTTACTAACATGATAGTTCAAGTATTGTAGGTTTGTTCTCGATCACTTCTTGTCACAGAGGTTTAATATCGTGGCAAGGAGGTTCAACACTGTTAGTGTAAGATGTTAGATCTGCCATCATTCAACCAACCATCACATTAGCAACCACCACAAGCACCCAGCAACAAGGCACCACACTGGCTCTGTCAATGTTTTCAACATGTTGCTCCCCACTTTTCCAGTATAAATAGAATATACTCCACTAGCTTATTAGGGATTTCAATTTTAATCATCTAACATTGTACCTACTAAAACAGAGTATCCCTAGCTGATATTCACATCAAGCATTGCCTGGAATAAGGAAAGGCTGAGAAGGATTGGTGTAAGCAGGTAAATGTTGTGGTTTCTTATCTCCCTTCATAAGTTATTATTTTTTCTGTGTTTATTTTGTTTTTGGCTGAGAAGAAGGGGCAGTGGAATAGGTCACTTTAAGAGGTGTTTTCTTCAATCCATTTGATTGTATATTTGTATATAAAAAAGTTGCAGGCATGAAGCTATGATTGGGGGAGGCATATTCACTGGTTTATTCCATTGTGAGTTGCTCTCTCATGTGTGGTTATGTTTCAGAGACGAAATGAATGCATTTGCTGAAAGAAAGCTCAACAAAGATGAAAAGGGAAAAGGTAAAGTGGACTCGTTAAAAGATAAAGCCATAAACTACCTTGTAATGAAATAAATTACCCAACTTCTTAATGGTAAAATAATTGATGAATTGGCCCAAGAGATTGCCTATACAGACACTGTTCCTCATCACGATTAACTTATTCTCTATTTGTACTGTCTTACAAATATATATTTATTTTTTCATAATAGTATAAGACTTTGCAATAGGGTTTTAGTGCACTTTTACAGGTTTACTAACCCAAGAATTCAAGTATTGTATGTCTGTTATCAATCACTTCTTGTTACAGGGGTTTAAAATCTAGGCAAGGAGGTTGAACACTGTTAGTGTAAGAAGTTAGATCCGCAGTCATTCAACCAACCATCACATTAGCAACCACCACAAGCACCCAGCAACAAGGCACTACATCGGCTCTGTCAATGCTTTTCAACTTGTTGCTCTCCACTTTTCCGGTATATATAGAATACTCGACTAGCTTATTCGGGATTTCAATTTTAATTATCTAACATTGTACGTACTAAACCGGAGTATCCCTAGCTTGGGGATATTCACATCAAGCATTGCCTTGAATCAGGAAAGGTTGAGAAGGATTAGAGTAAGCAGGTAAATGTTGTGGTTTCTTATCTCCCTTCATAAGTTATTATTTTTTCTGTGTTTAGTTTGTTTTTGGCTGAGAAGAAGGGGCAGTGGAATAGGTCACTTTAAGAGGTGTTTTCTTCAATCCATTTGATTGTATACTTGTATATAGAAAAGTTGCAGCCATGAAGCTATGACTAGGGGAGGCAGAGACACTGGTTTATTCAATTGTGAGTTGCTCTCTCTTGTGTGGTTATTGGATTATTCAATTATGAGTTGCTCTCTCTTGTGTGGTTAAGTTTCCGAACGAGTGAATGCTTTTGCTGGAAAAAAGCTCAACAAAGAGGAAAAGGCAAAAGTTGAAGTGAACTCATTAAAAGATAAAGCCATAAACTACAGTGTGAAGAAAGACATTACCCACCTTCTGACTGGTAAAATAATTGATGAATTGGCCCAAGAGATTGCCTATACACTGTTCCTTTTCATGATTAATGTATTCTCTATTTGTATTCTCTTACAAATTTATTTATTGTCATAATACTTCGTGATAGGGTTATAGTGCAATTTTACAGTTTTACTAACCTGAAAATTGTAGGTCTGTTCTCGATCACTTCTTGTCACAGGGGTTTAAAATCTAGGCAAGGAGGTTGAACATTGTTAGTGTAAGAAGTTAGGTTCGCCATCATTCAACCAACCATCACATTAGCAACCACCACGTAACAGGGCTGACCTGAGCACCCAGCCACAAGCACCCACATCAGCTCTGTCAATGCTTTTCAACATGTTGCTCCCCACTTTTCTGGTATAAATAGATTACTCCACTAGCTTATTAGGTGTTTCAATTTCATTTATCTAACATTGTACCTACTAGAACATAGTATCCCTTGCTCGAGGTTATTCACGCCAAGCATTGTCTGGAGTAAAGAAAGGTTGAGAAGTATTGGAGTAAGCAGGTAAATGTTTTGGTTTCTTATCTTCCTTTATATGTTATTATTTTTCTGTGTTTATTTTGTTTTGGGCTGGGATGAAGGGGCAGTGGAATAGGTCACTCAAAGAGGTGTTCTTCAATGCAGTTGGTTGTATATTTGTATATGATGTTATGCTTTGTATAAATAGGTCCCTCTGAGATTGTATTATTCTTTCTAGTTTTTACTGGTGATTTTTGGAGTTCGACAGCAAGATTTTTTGACTCTGGTGACAGTAAAGGTTTAAGCAGAAACAGTACAGGTTATTTATTTAACTTTTTTTTTTAAATTTATTTATTTATTTTTTTTTTTTTTTAAATTTTAGTTTTCAAACATGTGTGTGGGTCAACAATTGATGAGTCCAGTTTTTATTTTATTAGAAAAAGGTCCTATGATTTTCAGCCTTTCTAAAAAAAAATAATTTTTTGTTTTTTCCCCCAGTTTTTCCTTCTCTCTTGGGTTTTTTTTCGCTTTGTTATATTTATGTTTTTTTTTTTTTTTTCCCATGTTTAAGTTTTTCTTTTTAACCATTTTTTTTTGTTTGTTTTGTTTTGTTTTGTTTGTTTTTTTGTTTGTTTGTTTGTTTGTTTGTTTTTTTTTGTTTTTTTTTTTGTTTTTTGTTTTTTTTTTTTGTTTGTTTTCTAATACGTACTCTACATATTTGTAGTTTTGATTGTGTATTTTCAAAGTTCATTGTACAATTTTGAGATTGTATTTTAAAATGACTCATTTTAAGGGTTCATTTTCATTTCAAACTAGTTTTGTGTTTTTTTGTTTTGTTTTGTTTTAACTCTTTGCAGTGTATGTTTGTAACCACCACATTAGCAACCACCATGAACACCCAGCCCCAAGGCACCACATCGGTTTCATCAATACTTTTCAACATGTTGCTCCCCACTTTTACGGTATAAATAGAATACTCCACTAGCTTATTTGGGATTTCAATTCCAATTATCTAACATTGTACTGCTTAGAACAGAGTATCCCTAGCTCGAGGATATTTACCTCAAGCATTGCCTGAAATATGGAAGGTTGAGAAGGATTGGAGAAAGAAGGTAAATGCTGTGGTTTCTTATCTCCCTTTATAAGTTATTTTTCTGTGTGTTTTGGGCTGGGAAGAAGGGGGTAGTGGAATAGGTCACTTAAAGAGGTGTTTTCTTCAATACAGTTGATTGTATATTTGTATATGATGTTGTGCTTTATATAGTTGATTGATAAGGTTGAACTGAAGGCTAAGTGGGTGGTAGAAAATAAAGAGCTTGAAGAATTAAACAGTGAAACTGATAAGAAATTGAAAGGTAAATGACCTTCTCTCATTAATGCTCTTTTATTAATGAATTCGAACCATTCTTTTGCCGGAAATGGGCACCGGAGGATGTCGAATTTCAGGTTAATGCTGGCGCCTTAGAGTAGGATTTGGAGGGTAAAAAAGTTGCAGCCCATGAAGCTATGATTGGGGGAGGCAGTCACTGGTTTATTCCATTGTGAGTTGCTCTCTCTTGTGTGTGTTATGTTTCATAGACGAATGAATGCATTTGCTGAAAGAACGCAGAGCAAAGAGGAAAAGGGAAAAGGTAAAGTGGACTCATTAAAAGATAAAGCCATAAACTACAGTGTAAAGAAAGAAATTACCCACCTTCTGACTGGTAAAATAATTGATGAATTGGCCCAAGAGATACACTGTTCCTCATAATGATTGTATATTTGTATATGATGGTTATGCTTTGTATAATACGTCCCTATGAGATTGTATAATTTTTCTAGTTTTACTGGTGATTTTTGGAGATTGACAGCAAGATTTTTTTACTCTGCTTACAGTAAAGGTTTAAGCAGAAACAGTAGAGGTTATTTATTTATTTTTAAAATTTTTAGTTTTAATTTATCTAACATTGTACCAACTAGAACAGAGTATCCCTAGCACGAGATCGAGAAGGATTGGAGTAAGCAGGTAAATGTTGTTATTTCTTATCCCTCTTTATAAGTTATTATTTTTCTGTGTTTGTTTTGTTTTGGGCTGGGAAAGAAGGGGCAGTGGAATAGGTTTAAATAGGTGTTTTCTTAAAATCCAGTTGATTGTATATTTGTATATGATGTTATGTTTTATATAATTGATCAGGTTGTATTAAAGGCTAAGTGGAAGGTGGAAAATAAAGAACTTGAAGAATTAAACAGTGAAACTAATAGGAAATTAACAGGTAAATGACCTCTTATTGGTGCTTTTTGATTAATGAATGAATGAATTTGAACTTCTCTTCGGTAGGATCATGGCAGTAATCTTTGATGTTTATTGCATAGTGCCAGATTCTTTGTTTGGTTGCTCTATTAATTACCATTGGTTATTGAAAGTAAAAATCCACTTCAACATTCCAGATAATGGAATTTCAGGTTAATGCCGGCACCCTAAAGTACGACTTGGAGGCTAAAAATGTTGCAGCCATATGATTGGGGGAGACAGAGTCACTAGTTTATTCCATTGTGACTCTTGTGAGTTGCTCTCTCTTGCGTGGTTATCTTTTAAGAGACGAATGAATGTATTTTGCAAATTTTTTGCAAATTTTTGCAAATTATTCCATTGTATTTTGCAAATTTTTTTTTTTCCCATTTCAGAGACGAATGAATGCATTTGCTGAAAATAAAACTCAGCAAAGAGGAAAAGTGAAAGGTTAAGTGGACTCATTAAGAGATAAAACAATAATCTGCAATGTAAAGAAAGAAATTACCCACCTTCTGACTGGTAAAGTAATTGATTAATTGGCCCAAGAGATTGCCTATACACTGTTCCTTATCATGATTAACTTCTCTATTTGTATTCTCTTACAAATTTATTTATTTTGTCATAATACTTCGTGAGGGGTTATAGTGCACTTTTACTGACCTGAAAATTCAAGTATTGTAGGTCTGTTCTCGATCACTTCTTGTCACAGAGGTTTAATATCTAGGCAAAGAGGTTGAACACTGATAGTGTAAGAAGTTAGATCCGCCATATCACATTAGCAACCAGTACTAAACGGGACTGACCAGAGCACCCAGCCACAAGCACCACAGCGGCTCTGTCATTGCATTTCAACATGTTGCTCCCCACTTTTCTGGTATAAATAAAATACTCCACTAACTTATTAGGGATTTCAATTTCATTTATCTAACATTGTACCAACCAGAACAGAGTATTCGTAGCTCGAGGTTGAGAAGGATTGGGGACGGGGTGAGCAGTTAAATGTTGTGGTTTCTTATCCTGCTTAAGCAGTTAAATGTTGTGCAGTTAAATGCTGTGGTTTCTTATCCTGCTTAAGAAGTTATTATTTTCCTGTGTTTGTTTTGTTTTGGGCTGGGACAGAAGGGGCAGTGGAATAGGTCACTTAAATAGGTGTTTTCTTAAATCCAGTTGATTGTATATTTGTATATGATGTTATACTCTATATAATTGATCAGGTTGTACTAAAGGCTAAGTGGAAGATGGAAATTAAAGAACTTGAAGAATTAAACAGTGAAACTAATAGGAAATCACAGGTAAATGACCTTCTCTTATTAGTGCTCTTTGATTAATGAATTTGAACTTTTCTTTGGTAGGATCATGGCAGTAATCTTTGATGTTTATTGTATAGTGTCAGATTTTTTGTTCGGTTCCTCTATTAATTACGATTGGTTGTTATTGAAAGTAAAAATCAACTTGAACATTCCAGACAATGGAATTTCACGTTAATGCTGGCACCCTAAAGTACGATTTGAAGGGTAAAAATGTTGCAGCCATGAATCTATGATTGGGGGAGACAGAGTCACTGGTTTATTCCATTGTGAGTTGCTCTCTCTTGTGTGGTTTTTCAATACTTTTTAATTTTTTTTTTTTAAAGTGTTGTTTTTATAATTTCCATTCATCCTAAGGAACTTTCTGTACCTACCTTTAGGAGTAGATTACCGAATTAGTTTTGTCTTTTGACTTTTTCCCGGAAATTTAAAATCTATTTATTTTTAAAATTCCCAATATCATAAACAAATTTTCCCGTTGGAGTTTGTTGTTGGTTTCCTATTTCCAAGCAGTTTGGGTTTCATATTTCTTTGTTTTTTCAGCGTTCTCTATATCTCAAACACTCTCCCCCGCAAATCCGCCTTTTGCTGGAAATGGACAATGGAGGATGTCAAATTTCAGGTTAATGCAGGCACCCTAAAGTAGGATTTGGAGGGTAAAAATGTTGCAGCCATGAAGCTATGATTGGAGGAGGCAGAGTCACTGGTTTGTTCCATTGTGAGTTGCTCTCTCGTGTCGTTAGGTGAAAGGTAAAGTGGACTTATTGAAAGATGAAGCCATAAACTGCAGCGTAAAGAAAGAAATTACCCACCTTCTGACAGGTAAAATGATTGATTAATTGCCCCAAGAGATGTTCCTCATCATGATTAGTTTCTTCTATATTTGTATTCTCTTAATACTCCGGATGGGGTTATAGTGCAGTTTTACAATTTTACTAACCTGAAAATTCAAGTATTGTCACATTCTTGATCACTCTTTTCAGAGGTTCAATATTTAGGCAAGGAGGTTGAACACTGTTAGTGTAAGAAGTTAGATCCGTCATCATTCAACACATCCGCAACCACCACGTAACAGGGACTTGAGCGCCTAACCACAAGGTATCACATCGGCTTTGTAATGCTTTTCAACATATTGCTACCAACTCTTCCAATATAAATAGAATACTCCACTATATTCCAATTTCATTTATCTAACAATTTACTGACTAGAACAGAGTATCCTTAGCTCGAGGATATTCACATCAAGCCTTGTTTGGAATAAGGGAAGGTTGAGAAGGATTGGAGTAAGCAGGTAAAAATTTTTGGTTTCTTATCTTCCTTTCTATGTTTTTATTTTTTTTGTCTGTTTTGTTTTGGACTGGGAAGAAGGGGTAGTGGAATAGGTCACTTAAAGAGGTGTTTTCTTCAATCCAATTGTGATTGTCTATTTGTATATGATGTTATGCTTTACATACATAATTGATCAGGTTGAAGGGAAGGTTAAGTGAGGGGTAAAAATAGAGAGCTTGAAGAATTAAACAGTGAAACTGATAAGAATATGACAGGTAAATGGCCTTTTCTCATTAATTTTCTATGATTAATGAATTTGAACTTCTCTTCGGTAAGAACATGGCAGTAATCTTTGATGTTTGTTGTAAAGGGCCAGATTCTATGCTTGGTTGCTCTATTAATTACCATTGGTTATTGAAAATAATAATCATAAACATGAACATTCCAGACACTTATATTTTTTAAATACCTTTTAAAGGTATTTTTATTAGGAATAGTGAATTCTTATATTTTTTTAGGAGTATTTTCGACGTATTTTGTATGTTTTCAAGTGTTCTTGTGTAGTTTTTGCTTCTTTCTCTTTATGTTTTTCCTGCATTTTTGTGCTGTTTTTGCTTTGTTATATTTGTGACTTTTGTTTTTGTCCATTGCGTTTTTCAATGAATGTGTTTCTGAATATCTATTTTTGTTCAATGACTTTTGTTTTTGTCCATTTATGATGTATTTAGTTGTTTTTTGTCTCTTTATGTTTTTCTTACAATTTTGTGCTATTTTTGCTTTGTTATATTTGTGACTTTTGTTTGTGTACATTGTTTTTTTCTTTGAATGTATTCCTGAATGTCTTGCAGTTCTTTTCCTTTCGTTATATTTGTGTGTTTTTTGTTTTTTTCCATGCATTAATTTCCCCCTTTTAATTACTGTTTATTTTGTTTTTGTTAGGATGTATTTAGTGCATTTTCCTTTATTTATAGCATTTTCAAGTGTTCTTGTGTAGTTTTGGGTGATATTTTTGCTTCGTTATGTTTGTCCATGACGTTTTGCTTTGAATGCGTTCAATGAATGTCTTGGAGTTCTTTTCGCTTCGTTATGTTTGTGTATATATTTTTTTCTCATGCATTAATTTCCCTTTTTATTACCGTTCACATTGTGTAGTTTTGGGTGATATTTTTGCTTCGTTATGTTTATCCATGACGTTTTGCTTTGAATGTGTTCATGAATGTCTTGGAGTTCTTTTCGTTTTGTTATGTTTGTGTGTGTATATATATATATATATATATATATATATATTTTCTCATGCATTAATTTCCCTTTTTACCGTTCATATTTTGTTGTTAGCGTTCTTTTGGCGTATTTAGTGCGTTTTCCTTTATTTATAGCATTTTCAAGTGTTCTTGTGTAATTTTGGATAATATTTTTGCTTCGTTATGTTTGTCCATGACGTTCGTATTTTGTTGTTAGCGTTCTTTTGGCGTATTTAGTGCGTTTTCCTTTATTTATAGCATTTTTCAAGTGTTCTTGTGTAGTTTTGGGGTAATATTTTTGCTTCGTTATGTATGTCCATGACGTTTTGCTTTGAATGCGTTCATGAATGTCTTGGAGTTCTTTTCGCTTCGTTATGTTTGTGTATATTTTTTTTTCCCATGCATTAATTTCCCTTTTTACTGTTCATATTTTGTTGTTAGCATTCTTTTGGCATATTTTTAGTTTGAATTGCGTATTTCTAAAGATCATTTTTATTAAGAATAGTGAATTCTTTTATTTTATAAGGAGTAATTTCGACGTATTTAGTATGTTTTCTTTAATTTATAGCATTTTCAAGTGTTTCGTGTGTAGCTTTTTGTTCACTGCATTTTTTGGGTTATTTTTGTTTTGATATATTTGTTTGTTTTTGTTCGTTGTGTTTTTCATTCTCAACGTGTTCCTGAATTTTTAGAGTTCTTTGGTTTTGTTATATTTGTGTTTTTATTTTCTAAGGAGTATTTTCGAAATATTTAATTTATTTTTCTTAATTTATAGCATTTTTCGAGTGTTATTGTGTAGTTTTTGGTTTTCTCTTTATGTATTTCATGCATTTATGGGTTATTCTCGCTTCATTATATTTGTGCTTTTGATTTTGTTCATTATGTTTTCCTTGGATGTATTCCTGAATGTGGAGTTCTTTTCGTTTTGTTATATTTGTGTGTTTTTCTCCATGTATTAAATTTTCCTATTTACTATTCATTGTTTTTGTTTGCGTTCTTTTGGCATTTTTTTGTTTGAATTGGGTAGTTTCAAATATCGTTTTGAAATTCAGTAAATAACTTGTATTTCCATTAGGAATAGTGAACGCTTTTATTTTCTAAAAATTAATTCCAACGTTGTTTATTGTTTTTGTTAGCGTTCTTTCGGCATATTTTTTGTTTGAATTGGGTAGCTCCAAATATCGTTTTAAAATTCAGTAAATAACTTTTAAGGTATTTCTATTTTTTTTATTGAAGGGTAAAGGTATTTCCATTAGGAATAGTGAATTCTTTTATTTTTTAAGTGGATTAATTTCGGCGTTATTAGTCTGTTTTCCTTAATTTATAGCAATTTTCAAGTGTTTTTGTGTAGTTTTGGTTTATTTTTTTTCGTTATATTTTTGTCCGTTGCGTTTTTCTTTTAATGTGTTCCTGAATATCTTGATGTTCTTTTTGTTTCGTTGTATGTGTATTTTTTTATTTTTCCCATGCATTAATTATCCCTTTTTACCGTCCATTTTTTTTGTTAGCTTTCTTTTTGCATATTATTAATTTGAATTATGTATTTCCAAAGATCATTTAATAATTTAGTAGTTTAGTACTTATAATTTTAAAGGTATATTAGGAATAGTGAATACTTTTATTTTTGACATATTTAGTCTGCTATCCTTAATTTTCCTTAATTACCGAATGAGTTTCATTCATCATTAGGATTGGTTTCCTATTCCTTGCAGTTCACGTTTCCTATTTCTCTGATTTTTTTGGCGTTCTCTCCATCTCAAACACTCTCCTGCGCCAATCCGCCTTTCGCCGGAAATGGGCACCTTAAGACGTTGAATTTCAGGTTAATGCCGGCACCCTAAAGTAGGATTTGGAGGGAAAAAATGTTGCAGCCATGAATCTATGATTGGGGGAGATAGAGTCACTGGTTTATTCCACTGCAATTATTTATTTATTTATTTATTTTTTCCAGAGACGAATGAATGCATTTGTTGAAAATAAAGCTCAACAAAGAGGGAAAGTGAAAGGTGAAGTGGACTCATTAAAAGATAAAGCAATAAACTGCAATGTAAAGCAAGAAATTGTCCACCTTCTGACAGGTAAAATAATTGATTAATTGCTCCAAGAGATTGCCTATATACTGTTCCTCATCATGATTAGTTTCTTCTATATTTGTATTCTCTTAATACTTCATGATGGGTCACTTTTACAGTTTTACTAACCTAAAAGTTCAAGTACTGTAGGTATGTTCTCGATCACTCTTTTCACAGAGGTTTAATGTCTAGGCAAAGAGGTTGAACACTGTTAGTGCAAGAAGTTAGATCCGCCATCATTCAACCAACCATCACATTTGCAACCACCACGTAACAGGACTGACCTCAGCACCTAACCACAAGGTATCACATCGGCTCTGTAAATGCTTTAAAACATGTTGCTTCCCTCTCTTCCAATATAAATAGAATACTCCACTACCTTATTAAGGATTCCAATTTCATTTATCTAACAATTTATAGACTTGAACAGAGTATCCTAGCTTGAGGATATTCACATTAAGCCTTGTTTGGAATAAGGGAAGGTTGAGAAGGATTGGAGTTAGCAGGTACATTTTTTGGTTTCTTATCTCCCTTTCTATGTTTTTATTTTTTTATTTTTTGTGTTTGTTTTGTTTTGGACTGGGAAGAGGGGGAGTGGAATAGGTCATTTAAAGTGGTGTTTCTTCAATTCAATTGATTTTGTGTTTGTATATGATGTTATGCTTTACATATGTTAAATGTTGAAATACAAGAACAGTGTATACTCTCATATATTTCTATACAAGAGGAACCCTATTTATACAAAGGTTGGAAGAGTACCAGCCAAAGGATTTGAAATTCAAATGAGAGAATAAGCACCTAATTCTAACTAACCCTTATTCATCTAACAACATACATATGTTTTCCTTGCATTTTTGTGCTATTTTTGCTTTGAATGCGTTCATGAATGGGGTAATATTTTTGCTTTGTTATGTTTGTCCATGACGGTTTGCTTTGAATGCGTTCATGAATGTCTTGGAGTTCTTTTCGCTTCATTATGTTTGTGTATATATTCTTTTCCCATGCATTTATTTCCCTTTTTACTGTTCATATTTTGTTGTTAGCGTTCTTTTGGTGTATTTAGTGCGTTTTCCTTTATTTATAGCATTTTTCAAGTGTTCTTGTGTAGTTTTGGGTGATATTTTTGCTTTGTTATGTTTGTCCATGACATTTTGCTTTGAATGCGTTCATGAATGTCTTGGAGTTCTTTTGGCTTCGTTATATTTTTGCATTTTTTGTTTTTTTTCCATGCGTAAATTTCCTCTTTTTACCTTCATTTTGTTCGTTTGCGTTCTTTCGGCATATTTTTGGTTTGAATTGTATATTTCCAATGGTCATTTAATAATTATTATAATACTTATATTTTTTTTTATAAATAACTTTTAAAGGTATTTTTATTAGGAGTAATGAATTCATTTATTTATTAAGGAGTATTTATGATGTATTTAGTTGTTTTTTGTCTCTTTATGTTTTCCCTACATTTTTGTGCTATTTTTGCTTTGTTATATTTGTGACTTTTATTTTTGTATATTGCTTTTTTCTTTGAATGTGTTCCTGAATGTGTTGGAGTTCTTTTCATTTTGTTATATTTGTATGTTTTTTTGTTTTTTCCCATGCTTTAGTTTCCTCTTTTAATTACTGTTTGTTTTGTTTTTGTTGGGACGTATTTAGTGCGTTTTCCTTTATTTATAGCATTTTTCAAGTGTTCTTGTGTAGTTTTGGGTGATATTTTGTTTCGTTATGTTTGTCCATGAGGACGTTTTGCTTTGAATGCGTTCAATGAATGTCTTGCTTTTCGCTTCGTTATGTTTGTGTATATTTTTTTTTCATGCATTAATTTTCCTTCTTACCGTTCATATTTTGTTGTTAGCGTTCTTTTAGCGTATTTTTAATTTGAAATTGTGTATTTCTAAAGATCATTTTTATTAAGTTATTTTATAAGGAGTAATTTCGGGTATTTAGTATGTTTTCTTTAATTTATATCATTTTTCAGTGTTCTTGTGTAGTTTTTGATTCACTGCATTTTTTGGGTTATTTTCGTTTTGATATATTTGTGCCTTTTATTTTTGTCCGTTGTGGTTTTCATCAATGTGTTCCTGAATTTCTTAGAGTTCTTTTCGTTTCGTTATATTTTTGTTTTTTATTTTCTAAGGAGTATTTTTGAAATATTTAGTTTGCTTTTCTTAATTTATAGCATTTTCGAGTGCTATTGTGTAGTTTTTGGTTTTCTCTTTATGCTTTTCATGCATTTATGGGTTATTCTCGCTTCATTATATTTGTGCTTTTGATTTTGTTCTTTATGTTATCTTTGAATGTATTCCTGAATGTCTTGGAGTTCTTTTCGTTTTGTTATATTTGGTCTAAAAAATCAGGTTGTTGCTGTGTTTTCTGACTGTTTTCCAACCCAATCTGACAAATAGTATTCGGAGCAAGGCAGGAAGGTCTATTGAACTTTCTGCTCCTAAAATCTGTAGGCATTCCTTCATTTTTCGAAACAATGTCAAAAAGTCAGAATTTAGGAGCAGAAAGTTCAATAGACACCATAGTTGGATGGTTTAAAAGTGAACTTATTTGGACAACAGCACCCTAACATAACTTTAAGAAGAAAAAAGAAAGTTTCAATTCCATCACGATGCATAACACATATACAAAGAAAGTTGCTCTTCAAAAAGCGGGTTCTTCTATTTTTTTATTCTCCCTCTTATTTTTCATCTCTCACTCCCTCTCTCTCCTTTAAGAGCCCAATAAACAAAAAACAATGGTGAAATTATAATATATTATATATTATATAATCAACATCAACATAAATGTAAAATTATATGATACAACTATTATGAGAAAAAAAATATAAAAGATAATATAAGTAATTAATACATTATAGATAAATAAATAATGTAAAAAACATGGAAAAGAAAAAAAGAAGGGGGGTAAAATTAGAAAAAAATTGTGAGTGTACCAAAGATAAAGCACAATATACAAGTTAATATTGAATCTAGTTCGACCAACACACTTTTCATTCCGATTAGACCTTTACCCTCATTGAGTTTATATATATAAACTCAATATGATATATATATATATATATATATATATATTATAAGATAAGAAATTGGTGTAAGTGCAGTTTATAACTAGCAATTGCAAAAGCATCCTATTAATTTGTTTCTGTTACCTGTCAGCAGATTCTCCATGGCCTAACTGTCCATTTGTGCCACTACCCCAAGAAAACACATTTTGGCCTTTCCACATATTATAAAATGATCTTTGAAAATACACAATTCAAACAAAAATGGGAAATTAATAAGGAAAAACTACAAACGCAAAGAACAAATGCAACTTTTTTACCCTACAAATCCTACCTTAGGGTGCGTAGGGTGCCAATCATAATAAAAACTACGACTTTGTGGCACAATTTTGTATGTTGAGAGTAAAAAAAGAGAGTAGATGGGAATTATAAATAAAAACAAATAAATTTTAAATTCCCGGGAAAAAGTGGAAGGCCAAACCTCATTCGGTAATCTTCTAAACAAAAAGTCCCTTTTGTAAAAATAAAAAGAACACCTTAAAAAAAAAAACAAAAACAATCAAAAAAAGCAAAGAAAACATTGAGTAAAAATGAACCCAAAAAAATGGCTGAAAGCTATAAAAAATAATAATAATAATAATAATAATAATAATAATAATAATAATAATAATAGTAATAATTAATAATTAATTAATAATAATAATTAGAAAATGTTCCTTCAAAAAATAATTAAAAATTAAAAAAGACTGTTAAATTAGTTTAAAATGAACACCGAAAAAATACTCCGTAAGTAATAATACAATTAAATATACTCAAATAAATTTTTAAAAAAAGAACAAACAAAAACAATAAAAGTTATTTTAAATATAAAACAAAATTGTATATTGAACTTACATTAAAAATTAATTTTTAAAAAAAGAACAAACAAAAACAATAAAAGTTATTTTAAATATAAAACAAAATTGTATATTGAACTTACATTAAAAATTAAAGATATGTAGAATATACTATCTAAAAAAAAAAATAAAAAAAAAAAAAAGAATGGTTCAAATTCACTAATCAAAGAGCATAAATGAGACCTGTTAATTTATCAGTTTCATTGTTTGTTTAATTCTTCAAACTCCTATTTCCTACCTACCACACCCACTAAAGCCTTCAGTTCAACCTTATCAAATTATATAAAGCCAAACTGGATTGAAGAAAACACCACTTTAAGTGCCCTAATCCACTGCGCCTTCTCAACCTTTCCTTATTTCAGGCAATGTTTGGTATGAGCTACTCTGTTCTAAAGTACAATGTTAGATAATTAAAATTGAAATATACATTGGGTCTGGGCAAATTATACTGTGGACCGCGGGATCCAAGCATCAAATATACATTGCAGTATTTCAACACAACTACAGTATCCTTTTAATATAACTACAGTTTCGGTGAACATGAAATATGTGAAATTGTTATTCAGTTTCATTTTGTATACACTGCAATTTCATTTCAATTCAATTGCAGTTTCATTTGATAATATAATAAAAATAATACGTGACAATGTCAGTTTAAATATACTATCATATCTGTCGTTTTGGACCATGGTCCACAAAGCTTTGTGGACCGCAGTCCACAGTATAATTGCTGTGGGGGCTGAGTGCTCATGGTTTTGGTGATAAAAGAGTTAAAACAAAACTAAAAATGAAAAAAAAAAATAATAATAATAATAACCTGTACTATCTCACTAGAGTCAAAAAAAAATTGCTGTCAAATCTCCAAAAATCACCAGTAAAACTAGAGAAAATTATATACAATCTCAGAGGGACCTATTTATATCATCAAATTGGATTGAAGAAAATACCTCTTTAAGTGACCTTATTCCACTGCCCCATCTTCCCAACCCAAAACAAAATAAACACATAAAAATAATAAAAATAATATAACATAAAGGAAGATAAGAAACCACAACATTTACCTTACTACACCAATCCTTCTCAACCTTTCCTTATTCCAGAAAATGCTTGACGTGAATAACCTTGAGTAAGGGATACTATGTTCTAGTCGGTACTGTTAGATAAATGAAATTGAAACCCCTAATAAGCTAGTGGATAATCTATTTATATCAGAAAAGTGGGGAGCAACATGTTGAAAAGCATTTATACCAGATGTGGGGCTTATGGCTGGGGGTGCTCAGGCCGGCGTGTTGGTTGCTAATGTGATGGTTGGTTGAATGATAGCGGATCTAACTTCTTACACAAACAGTGTTCAACCTCGTTGGCTAGATTTTAAACGCCTGTGACAAGAAGTTAGGTATTATGACAAAATAAATAAATTTGTAAGGGAATACAAATAGAGAATTCACGATGAGGAATAGTGTATAGGCAACCTCTTGGGCTAATTCATCAATTATTTTACCAGTCAGAAGGTGGGTAATTTCTTTCTTCACACTGCAGTTTATGGCTTTATCATTTAATGAGTCTACTTTAACTTTTGTCTTTTCCTATTTGTTAAGCTTTTTTTCCAGCAAAAGCATTCATTCGTCTCTGAAACATAACCGCACAAGAGAGAGCAACTCACAATGGAATGAATGACTCTGCCTCCTCCCCCAGTCAATGCTTCATGGCTGCATCTCTTTAAGTGAGTGACTGACCTATAATTCCATTGCCCGTTCTTAGCCCAAAACAAAATAAACACACAAAAATAATTAACTTATATAGGGAGATAAAAAACCACAACATTTACCTGCTTACTCCAATCCTTCCCAACCTTTCCTTATTCCAGGCAATGCTTCATGCTAGGGTACTCTATTTTAGTAGGTACATTGTTAGAAAATTAAAATTGACATCCCTAATAAACTAGTGGAGATAGTATTTATACCGGAAAAGTGGGGAGCAACATGTTGAAAAGCATTGACAGAGCCAATGCCTTGTTGCTGGGTCCTTGATTGCGGATCTAACTTCTTACACTGAGAGTGTTCAACCTCCTTGCCAAGATTTTAAACCACTGAAACAAGAAGTGATCAAGAAAAGACTGACAATACTTGAATTCTCAGGTTAGTAAAACTGTAAAACTGGACTATAACCCTATCACAAAGTATTATGACAAAATAAATAAATTTGTAAAAGAATATAAATCAGGAATAAGTTAATCATGATGAGGATCGGTGTATGGGTCTTGGGCCAATTCATCAATTATTTTACCAGTCAGAAGGTACCTTTCTTTACACTGTAGTTTATGGCTTTTATCTTTTAATAATGAGTCCACTTTACCTTTTTCCCTTTTCCTCTTTGTTGAGCATTTTTTCAGCAAATGCATTCACTCGTCTATGAAACATAACCACACAAGAGAGAGCAACTCACAATGGAATAAACCAGTGACTCTGCCTCCCCCATCTTCATGGCTGTGCAACATTTTTACCCTCCAAAAGCATTGGGGGGGTGCTCATGGTGGTGGCTAATGTGGTAGTTACGAACGTACACTATAAAGAGTTAAAACAAAACAAAAAACACAAAACTAGTTTCAAATGAAAATGAACCCTTAAAATGATAAAAATAAGGAAAAACACTAAAACACTGAAAATACTCCACCGAAAATAAGTCATTTAAAAATACAATCTCAAAATTGTACAATGAACTTTGAAAATACACAATGAAAACTACAAATATGTAGAGTAACTAATTAAAAACCAACAACAACACACACACACAAAAAAACCAACAACAACAAATGGTTAAAAAAGGAAAACATAATACATGGAAAAAAAAAACACATGAAAGAAGGAAAAACAGGGGAACAAAACAAAAAAAATTGTTTTTTAAAAAAGGCTGAAAAAGGACCTTTTTCTAATAAAATAAAAACTGGACTCATCAATTGTTGACCCAGACACATGTTTGAAAACTAAAAATTTAAAAAAATAAATAACCTGTACTGTTTCTGCTTAAACCTTTACTGTCACCAGAGTCAAAAAATCTTGCTGTCAATCTACAAAAATCACCAGTAAATCTAGAAAAAATTATACAATCTCAAAGGGCCGGACCTATTTATACAAAGCATAACATCATATACAAATATACAATCAACTGCATTGAAGAAAACACCTCTTTAAGTGACCTATTCCACTGCCCCTTCTTCCCAGCCCAAAACAAAATAAACACAGAAAAATAATAACTTATAAAGGAAGATAAGAAACCAAAACATTTGCCTGCTTAATCCAATCCTTCTCAACCATTCCTTGTTCCAGACAATGCTTGGCATGTAACCTTGAGCAAGGGATACTATGTTCTGGTAGGTACAATGTTAGATAAATGAAATCGAAACCCCTAATAAGCTAGTGGAGTAATCTATTTATACCAGAAAAGTGGGGATCAACATGTTGAAAAGCATTGACAGAGCCGATGTGGTGCCTTGTTCCTGGGTGCTTGTGGCGGGTGGTTGCAACTGTGCAAGGATATATTTCACACTCGCATCCTCTTCACATCGTTTTCTGGGACATTCATTTCCGTTGTCGCCTGTGTAGATACGATATGAATATCTTAACACATTTGCCCAACCCAACAAAAGGCAAAACAAAAAGAATAGCGTTGGGGCAGAAAAACATACATTCTCATCTGGAACAACTGCGTACCTCTGTGTTGGTGAAACCCAACTTTTTTCAGCTGAAAAAAAAGATTGGGTTGGAAAACAGTCAGAAAACACAGCAACAACCCGACTTTTTAGACCAAAATGACAAATAGTATCCGGAGCAAGGCAGGACGGTCTATTGAACTTTCTGCTCCTAAAATCTGTAGGTTTCTTGATCCATATCCATGCTCAATGCTTCTATGATCTTTGGGGCATTCCTTCATTTTTCGAAACAATGTCAATAAGTCAGATTTTAGGAGCAGAAAGTTCAATAGACACGACACCATAGTTGGATGGTTTAAAAGTGAACTTATTTGGACAACAGCACCCTAACATAACTTTAAGAAGAAAAAAGAAAGTTTCAATTCCATCACGATGCATAACAGATATACAAAGGAAGTTGCTACAAAAAGCGGGTTCTTCTATTTTTTTTTATTCTCCCTCTTATTTTTCATCTCTCACTCCCTCTCTCTCCTTTAAGAGCCCAACAAACAAAAAACAATGGTGAAACTATAATATATTATATAATCAACATCAACATAAATGTAAAATTATATGATACAACTATTATGAGAAAAAAATTATAAAAGATAATATAAGTAATTAATACATTATAGATAAATAAATAATGTAAAAAACATGGAAAAGAAAAAAAGAAGGGGGGTAAAATTAGAAAAAAATTGTTAGTCTACCAAAGATAAAGCACAATATACAAGTTAATATTGAATCTAGTTCGACCAACACACTTCTCATTCCGGTTAGACCTTTACCCTCATTGAGATATATATATATATATAATAAGATAAAAAATTGGTGTAAGTGCAGTTTATAACTAGCAATTGCAAAAGCATCCTATTAATTTGTTTCTGTTACCTGTCAGCAGATTCTCCGTGGCCTGCCTAACTGTCCATTTGTACCACTACCCCAAGAAAACACATTTTGGCCTTTCTACATTATAAAATGATCTTTGAAAATACACAATTCAAACAAAAATGGGAAATTAATAAGGAAAAACTACAAAAGCAAAGAACAAATGCAACTTTTTTACCCTACAAATCCTACCTTAGGGTGCTGCGTAGGGTGCAATCATAATAAAAACTAATCATAATAAAAACTACGATTTTGTATGTTGAGAGTAAAAAAAGAGAGTAGATGGGAATTATAAAAACAAATAAATTTTAAATTCCCGGGAAAAAGTGAAAGGCCAAAGCTCATTCGGTAATCTTCTTAACAAAAAGTCTCTTTTGTAAAAATAAAAAGAACACCTTAAAAAAAGCATAGAAAACATTGAAACGAAATGAACCCAAAAAATGGCTGAAAGCTATAAATAAAAATAACAGTAATAATAATTAATAATAATAATAATAAATAATAATTAGAAAATGTTCCTTCAAAAAATAATTAAAAATTAAAAATGTAAAAAAGACTGTTAAATCAGTTTAAAATGAACACCGAACCAAATACTCCATAAGTAATAATACAATTAAATACTCAAATAAATTTTTTAAAAAAGAACAAAAACAATGAAAGTTATTTTAAATATAAAACAAAATTGTATATTGAACTTACATAAAAAATTAAAGATATGTAGAATATACTACCTTAAAAAAAAAAAAAAAAGAATGGTTCAAATTCACTAATCAAAGAGCATAAATGAGACCTGTTAATTTATCAGTTTCATTGTTTGTTTAATTCTTCAAACTCCTATTTTCTACCTACCACACCCATTAAAGCCTTCAGTTCAACCTTATCAAATTATATAAAGACGAACTGGATTGAAGAAAACACCACTTTAAGTGCCCTAATCCACTGCGCCTTCTCAACCTTTCCTTATTTCAGGCAATGTTTGGTTGAGCTACTCTGTTCTAAAGTACAATGTTAGATAATTAAAATTGAAATATACATTGGGTCTGGGCCTTAGGTCTGGGCAAATTATACTGTGGACCGCGGGATCCAAGCATCAAATATACATTGCAGTATTTCAACACAACTACAGTATCCTTTTAATATAACTACAGTTTCGGTGAACACAACTAAAGTATCAAAAATAATACGTGAGACAATGTCAGTTTAAATATACTATCATATCTGTCGTTTTGGACCATGGTCCACAAAGCTTTGTGGACCGCGGTCCACAGTATAATTGCTGTGGGGGCTGAGTGCTCATGGTTTTGGTGATAAAAGAGTTAAAACAAAACTAAAAATGAAAAAATAATAAAATAATAATAACCTGTACTGTCACTACCGTCAACAAATTTTTGCTGTCAATCTCCAAAAATCACCAGTAAAACTAGAGAAAATTATATACAATCTCAGAGGGACCTATTTATATCATCAAATTGGATTGAAGAAAATACCTCTTTATGTGACCTTATTCCACTGCCCCATCTTCCCAACCCAAAACAAAATAAACACATAAAAATAATAAAAATAATATAACATAAAGGAAGATAAGAAACCACAACATTTACCTTACTACACCAATCCTTCTCAACCTTTCCTTATTCCAGAAAATGCTTGACGTGAATAACCTCGAGCAAGGGATACTATGTTCTAGTCGATACTGTTAGATAAATGAAATTGAAACCCCTAATAAGCTAGTGGATAATCTATTTATATCAGAAAAGTGGGGAGCAACATGTTGAAAAGCAGTTATACCAGATGTGGGGCTTATGGCTGGGGGTGATCAGGCCGGCGTGTTGGTTGCTAATGTGATGGTTGGTTGAATGATAGCGGATCTAACTTCTTACACAAACAGTGTTCAACCTCGTTGGCTAGATTTTAAACGCCTGTGACAAGAAGTTAGGTATTATGACAAAATAAATAAATTTGTAAGGGAATACAAATAGAGAATTCATGATGAGGAATAGAGTGTATAGGCAACCTCTTGGGCTAATTCATCAATTATTTTACCAGTCAGAGGGTGGGTAATTTCTTTCTTCACACTGCAGTTTATGGCTTTATCATTTAATGAGTCTACTTTAACTTTTGTCTTTTCCTCTTTGTTAAGCTTTTTTCCAGCAAAAGCATTCATTCGTCTCTGAAACATAACCGCACAAGAGAGAGCAACTCACAATGGAATGAATGACTCTGCCTCCTCCCCAAGTCCATGCTTCATGGCTGCACCTCTTTAAGTGAGTGTGACTGACCTATTATTCCATTGCCCCTTCTTCTTAGCCCAAAACAAAATAAACACACAAAAATAATTAACTTATATAGGGAGATAAGAAACAACAACATTTACCTGCTTACTCCAATCCTTCTCAACCTTCCCTTATTCCAGGCAATGCTTGATGTGAATATCCTCGAGCTAGGGTACTCTATTTTAGTAGGTACATTGTTAGAAAATTAAAATTGACATCCCTAATAAACTAGTGGAGATAGTATTTATACCGGAAAAGTGGGGAGCAACATGTTGAAAAGCATTGACAGAGCCAATGCCTTGTTGCTGGGTCCTTGATTGCGGATCTAACTTCTTACACTAAGAGTTTTCAACCTCCTTGCCAAGATTTTAAACCCCTGTAACAAGAAGTGATCGAGAAAAGACTGACAATACTTGAATTCTCAGGTTAGTAAAACTGTAAAACTGGACTATAACCCTATCACAAAGTATTATGACAAAATAAATAAATTTGTAAAAGAATATAAATCAGGAATAAGTTAATCATGATGAGGATCAGTGTATAGGTCTTGGGCCAATTCATCAATTATTTTACCAGTCAGAAGGTGGGTAATTTCTTTCTTTACACTGTAGTTTATGGCTTTTATCTTTTAATAATGAGTCCACTTTACCTTTTCCCTTTTCATCTTTATTGAGCATTTTTTTCAGCAAATGCATTCATTCATGGCTGTGCAACTTTTTTACCCTCCAAAAGCATTGGGGCTGGGTGCTCATGGTGGTGGCTAATGTGGTAGTTACGACCATACACTATAAAAAGTTAAAACAAAACAAAAAACACAAAACTAGTTTGAAATGAAAATGAACCCTTAAAATGATAAAAAAAATAAGGAAAAACACTAAAACACTGAAAATACTCCACCGAAAATAAGTCATTTAAAAATACAATCTCAAAATTGTACAATGAACTTTGAAAATACACAATGAAAACTACAAATATGTAGAGTAACTAATTAAAAACCAACAACAACAACACACACACACACACAAAAAACAAAACAAAAAAACAAAAAAACAAAAAAAAAAAAAAAAAAAAAAAAAAACCAACAACAAATGGTTAAAAAGGAAGAAAACATAATACATGAAAAAAAAAAAAACACATGAAAGAAGGAAAAACAGGGGAACAAAACAAAAAATTGTTTTTTTAAAAAAAGGCTGAAAAAGGACCTTTTTCTAATAAAATAAAAACTGGACTCATCAATTGTTGACCCAGACACATGTTTGAAAACTAATAATTTAAAAAAAATAAATAAGCTGTACTGTTTCTGCTTAAACCTTTACTGCCACCAGAGTCAAAAAATCTTGCTGTCAATCTCCAAAAATCACCAGTAAATCTAGAAAAAAATTATACAATCTCAGAGGGACCTATTTATACAAAGCATAACATCATATACAAATATACAATCAACTGCATTGAAGAAAACACCTTTTAAGTGAGACCTATTCCACTGCCCCTTCTTCCCAGCCCAAAACAAAATAAACACAGAAAAATAATAACTTATAAAGGAAGATAAGAAACCAAAACATTTACCTGCTTAATCCAATCCTTCTCAACCATTCCTTATCAACCATTCCTTAGTCCAGACAATGCTTGGCATGTATAACCTCGAGCAAGGGATACTACGGTTCTGGTAGGTACAATGTTAGATAAATGAAATCGAAACCCCTAATAAGCTAGTGGAGTAATCTATTTATACCAGAAAAGTGGGGATCAACATGTTGAAAAGCATTGACAGAGCCGATGTGGTGCCTTGTTGCTGGGTGATTGTGGTGGGTGGTTGCTAGTGTGATGGTTGGTTGAATGATGGCAGATCTAACATCTTAGACTAACAGAGTTGAACCTCCTTGCCACAATATTAAACCTCAAACCTACAATACTTGAACTATCATGCTAGTAAAACTGTAAAAGTGCACTATAACCTGTTAGTAAGTATTATGACAAAATAAAATAAATTTGTAACATAATACAAATAGATATGAAGTTAATCATGATGAGGAACAGTTTATAGGCAATCTCTTGAGCCAATTCATCAATTATTTTACCAGTCAGAAGGTGGGTATGTTCTTTCTTTACGCGGTAGTTTAGGCTTTATCTTTTAATGAGTCTACTATACCTTTTCCCTTCTCTTTTTTAATCTTTTTTTCCACAAATGCATTCATTTATCTCAGAAAGATAACCAAGCAAGAGAGAGCAACTTACAATGAAATAAATCAGTGACTCTGCCTCCCCCAATCATAGTTTCATGGCCGCAACTTTTCTACCCTCCAAATCCTACTTTAGGGGCCCGCATTAACCTGAAATTCGCGTCCTCCCGTGCCAGTTTCCGGCGGAAGGCGGATTGGCGCGGTAGAGAGTGTTTGAGACGGAGAGAATTTTGAGGGGTGGGAGAGAACGCCGAAAAAACAAAGAAATAGGAAACCCTAAATCCAAGGACAAACAAATTTTGCGGGCGTCCTCTGGTGACCGTTACCGGCGGAAGGCGGATTGGCGCAGGGAGAGAGTTTTTGAGACGGAGAGAATTTTGTGGAGCGGAGAGAGAACGCCGAATAAATCAAAGAAATAGGAAATTTAAACTGCCTGGAAATAGGAAAACCCTAAATCCGAGGGCAAACAAATTTTGCGGGCATTAACCTGAAATGGTGACCGTTTCCGGCGGATTGGCGCAGGGAGAGAGTGTTTGAGACGGAGAGAATTTTGTGGAGCGGAGAGAGAACGCCGAATAAATCAAAGAAATTGAAATCTAAACTGCGTAGAAAGAGGAAACCCTAAACTCCAACGGCAAAAAAATTGTGCTATTTGAAATCTTAAAAATAAATAAAGGGACCGACTTTCTCCCCATTGAGGGAATTTAAAATTTATTTATTTTTAAATTTCCAATAGCCCAAATTTCCTTTTCAAACATAATTTCCTCTTCCTTTTTTTTTATGAATTATTAATGAATTAATTTCACTAGCGGTCCATTATTTTTTGTGACAATTCTAAATTTAGTATTAAATTATAATTTTTGTCATTTAGCATTCCATATTATTGTTGTTAGACACTTAGTCATTCTTATACTTTTTTTTTAATAAGAGTATTTTTGTCTTTTCATATTTTTTTTTGTTATTTTTGCGCTCTCAACTGATTTAATTAATTGGTTTATAGCTTTACTAACAATCAAATGAAAATATGGTCACTACAAATCAGAGGTTACCTAAAATTCTAAACTGATTAAATGGGTTGAAATCGGAAAAAGTAACAAATGAAAAATATGAAAAAATAAAAACGTCTTTATTAAAAATAGAAAAAATCATGAAAATGTCTAATGTGTATGTATATATGTAATGTAATATATGATCTTGCTAGATGGAAGTTTAACTAAACATTAAATCACATCAATATTTAGTGTAATTTCTAATAAGATTTTTATCCAAAAATTAAAAAAAAAAATCAAACATTATCCTATATATGTAATCAAGAGATTACTGCAGATTTATATATATATATCTCTTCAATCGGCACGCAAAACGATTTTTCATTTCTTTTTCTGGCATTTATCATCTTCCCGAATCCATGCATATTTGATGCATTATATTAAAGAACACATCATTAGTCAACTGTAACGCAAAAACCCCGTTTTCTTCTTCTTCGTTTTCACACAATATATACATACCGAAGGCCGGGTTGATGTAATAACATGTTTCAACGCAAAATATAATGTGAGTATGTATTAATCTGATCTATTATATATTTATTTGGATAAATTAAGGATTTTAAAATGATTAATCTGAAGAAGCTGGTTTCAATTCTCACCATTTTGGCCACCATTTGTGCAGCAGCAGAAGAAGCTAAAGAGAATGGCGGTGGCGGTTTTACGGTTGAACTCATCCACCGGGACTCTCCGGCGGCTTCTCCACTCTACAACCCTCTTCTTTCTCGGCGGCAACGCATGAGCATTGCGTTTCACAATTCTATGAACCGCGCCGCCGCCGCGGCCGATTCATCCGCCGCTTCCGTCCGGGTGCTCCCTGATCCTAAGGGAACATATCTCATCAGACTGTCCGTCGGCGCCCCAACGCCGGCGGCTAAGCTCGCCGTCGCGGACACCGGCAGCGATCTTATATGGCTGCAATGCTGCCACCCTCCCGTTCATGATCAAAAAGCTCCCGTTTTTAATCCCAACGATTCCTTAACGTATAAACCAGTCCCCTGTGATTCCAAGGCGTGCTCAGGTCTACCCAGAAGCCGGTGCGCCGCCGCCGCCTCCGGCGGCGGCGGCGGCGGCGGGGGTAGTAACACCACCTGTCTGTATTCTGCTACGTATAACGACGGGTCGTTCAGTTACGGCGAACTGGCCACCGATACGTTTACGTTAGACGTAGTTTCCGGCGGAAAAAACGCGTCGTTCCCCGACATTATTTTCGGGTGTGGGTTTAAAAACTACTTCGAGAATAACGATACCGAGGTTTCCGGGATTGTCGGTCTCGGGTCGTCGCCATATTCGCTCATAAATCAAATCGGCGGCGCCAGATTCTCCTACTGCTTAGTTCCGCTGTCAAATCTGAACGCCTCAAGCACGCTACACTTGGGCCACCGTTCCGCGGTGGTCCACGGCGGTCCCGGAGTGGTTTCCACTCCGCTAATCTTGAAACCTCCGAGAAACTTCTACTACCTGACTCTCCTAGGAATCTCTGTCGGAAACCAAACACTAAACCTCGTCGACGAGTCATCATCAAGAGCCGTTCCAAAAGGCAACATCTTCATAGATTCCGGCACCACCTTCAGCTTTCTCCCGGCGGATTTATATCTCAGGCTGGAAGAGATGGTGAGGAATTCCATATCACTAAAGCCTATGGAGCCGAATCCCAGGAGATTCCTACGGCTTTGCTACCGGGATTTGGGAGCGGAGGATGTGCCGATAATCACGGCGCGGTTTGACGGCGGCGGAGAGCTGAAGTTGAAGGCGGTTAACAGCTTTGTTGACATCGGAGATGGAGTTGGGTGTTTAGGGTTTGCTCCGACAAAGGGAATTCCGGTGTTTGGGAACGTGGCGCATACGAATTTCTTGGTGGAATATGACCTGGAGAAGATGGTTGTATCCTTCGAGGCTACAGATTGTGTGAAATGGAAATACAAGTAGTGCATTTCTGTGCCAATTCAATCTACTGAATAATTTGCCCTCATGCAATCAACCCTCTTAAATACCCTATGTAATTATTACCTCCTCTTAAATGATATAATATAGGTCCAAACTAAGACCAATGGAATGTTATACTGTGGATTGGGACTATCAAAGTGGACCAAAGCCCGCGAATTGACTTGCACCCGTCTTGCGGTAGGGCGGGTTATTAAGGCCACAAAAAGGATAGCCCGCGAGTTATAAACATTGAGGTTTAATTTAGGCAAATTATGCTATGAGGTGGACACGGTTTCAAAATTGTTCATAATTATGAATGTATAGTTCAAAAATTATGAATATAGAGTTGTGAACATATAATTCTATAATTTTGAATATAGAGATTCAATAATTGTGAATATAGAGTTTAATAATTATGAATATATAGTTTTATAATTATGAACATATAGTTTAGTAATTATAAACGTAGAGTTCTGTAATTGTGAATATAGAGTTCAATAATTATGAATATGAAGTTCAAAAATTATATGAATATATAGCTTTATAATTATGAACATATAGTTTAGTAATTATGAACATAGAATTCTGTAATTATGAATATAGAGTTCAAAAATTATGAATATAAAATTAAAAAATTATGAATATATAACTTTATAATTATGAATATAGAACCGTGTCTACCTTATAAGGTGGATACGGTTCCACAGCATAACGATTGAAGGCCCCATCAGTTATATATAAACATTGAGGTTTAATTTAAGGCCGGGCCTCAAGTGTAAATAACAAGGATAGAGGTAACCCCAATTTTGATCCTTCAAGAACATTCCATGTGTTTTTCTCTGGTAATTTCTTGATTTTTTTTTTCAAGGTAGCCTACCATTAATGTATGCATCGTTGAACATATAATATATAAATATATTGTTTTTCTATTCATTCAAACTTTAAATTTTAGTTAGTTGATACATAACACCCTTTGATTTAAAAAAAAAATATTTAATGAAATTTTATTTTATACTCTCAACTTTTATAAATATTCTTGACAATATTTTTACAGATCCAATTTAAAGATGTATATTTAAGTATAAAATAACATGCATATTTAAGTATAAAATAACAATTGAGATTTAATTTTGTGACTTTCTCTCAAAGAGAACTACAAATGTACAGCACAAGGTGCTTGGTGATTTATTAAGACCTTAAAACATAAGAAAACGTAAATAACAAGATAGATCAGCTGGTTCTTAGGTTTATTGGGATATGGATATCTGCAACTTAGCTTCACGAGGAATGATTCATTTATGTTTCGATTGGATTAAGGACTGGCCGGTACTTTGTGATCATCTTGTCGTGAGGCGGCCAGTGATCCAGAATTGCAGGATGATTGTAGAAGTTGTGCACCCACTCCGACAGAACAGGAAATTTCTCGGCGTTGATCAATTTCAGGCCGGTTATCTCTGCGAACAGGCTAGGAAGGTGAGCCAGCCACCCCAGTACGATGTCGAGGAATCCGATGTTGTCTCCGCCGAAAAATTTCTTGCCGTTCAGCTGTTCTTCGATGAGTTTAAGGTTGTCCAGCGCCTGGACAACACTTTCTTCTTGTTCCTTCCCTTTCGAGTAGTAAGAACTCATGATCGACGGCATCAGCTACATACAAAACATCATATCATAATCCACACGAAACAAAGTTAAAGTTGGTCGAGTTGTTACCGTAAATACTCCCGAGTAAACAGTATGTATAACAGTATTGTCAGTATATGTAAAGTCAAGAGTAACATGCAGAAATATTAGCTCAAAGTCCTCTTTTACTCATAGTTGTTTTTGTGTGTTAGAGAGAGCAGGGAGAGTCCTACATTTGAGAGAGAGAGAGTGGATGAGAGGGGAAAACAGTCAATGACCCCTAAACTTGCAATAATTATTGTGTGGACCATATTTTGTATATTGTAAAATAATGTACATTCAGTACAAAAATAATGTACATTGGTTTCAGGGATGTATATTATTTTTGTACTGAGTATACATTATATTGTATAATGTACATTCAGTACAAAAATAATATACATTTAGTATATTAAAAATGTATTTTTTATTATGGTTCACATAACACTGTGTGGACCATAGTTCACACAATAATTTGCCCTAAACTTGTGGGTCGGCTCTCATATGGGCCAAACATGCTAATTTTGATTTTGATCCGAATCGTTTAACTCGATCCGACTACTAAACGGGTAATAGTTATGTTGTGGAACTGTGTTCACCATGCGCATAGTGAACACGGGATAGATCCATAATTTCAAAGTTGTAGATCCATAATTTCTATATTGTAAATTCATAACATCTATACTGTAGATTCATAATAATTTCTATATTGTAGATTCATAATTTATACAACATAGAAATTATGGATCTACACCATAGAAATTATGGATCTACCCATGTGTTCACCGTCTATACTCTAGATTCATAATTTTTATACCGTACTGTAGATTTATAATTTTTATACTGTAGATTCATAATTCTACAACATAGAAATTATGAATCTACAAGATATAAATTAAGGCAAATATATAGAAATTATGAATCTACAAGATATAAGTTATGGAAGCACGAACGTATATAGTGGTCAAAGACGAGGAATATTCCCTATCAAACATAAAGTTCTTGATCCAAATATACAGGACCAATTTATTAGCTTTATTGGTTACTAGTCTGAGCCCCTCAGCTATAGACTTTAACGAGTAGGGTCACAAGGTGGGATATACCTAACGCCTATGCATATACCCTCAAACAATGGTTGCAAGTTTCAATTCTCTCGTCTTGACTAATAGAAAACTAAACTAAATGATGCGCTTTAATTTGTCTTTGAGATCGATCGACTTACCTTGTCATCGCTAAACCTTGCCCAGAATCGTGATTGGGCTCTGCCGAGAGGGTGTTGAGGTAACAAGGGGTTGTTCTTCCATGTCTCATCGATGTATTCAAGGATTATCAATGACTCACAGATGGGTTTCCCGTTGTGGATGAGGACAGGAACCTTTTTGTGGACAGGATTGTAGTGGAGAAGATGAGGGCTTTTGTTTTTCAGATCTTCATGGATGGTTTCATATTGAATATGTTTGATGTTTAGTGCCCACACCACCCTTAAGCTATACCGGCTTGACCATGTCCTGTAAAGCTTCACTTCTTCTGCCATGGCTACTGTACTACTGTTACTGTCAATTCGATCAGGATGGACCGTGTTATATATATAGATCAGATTTGATTTGAGTACGTTTTGATTATGGGGCGATGGAATATATTTGATTTAAACATATTGACTTTTTGGGTTCCCCAAGCGGCCATTTTGGACCATTTCTCATCTTTTTGAGCCATTCTGGATTTCTGGTCAGTTACGTTGTCACTATCTTCAAAGTCAAGCATTAGATGTGATGTTACAGCCTTACAGGCCGGCGGCCAAGTAGAAATCACTATCTTTAAAGTCAACTAATTAACTTTGTGGATCTCTAAAAAAAAAGGAAATCATATAAGAGAGGTACACCACATTAGAAATATTATGGTTGTGTTATCGGGATTTGGGAGTCGAGAGTGATCCAATAATCACGACGAGGTTCGACGACGGCAGAGAACTGAGGTTGAACTCGGTTAACCACTTTATCACTGTGAATCATTTTTGGATCACAAGAAAATTAAGAAATCACACAGGAGAGGTACAACTAACATATGAATGGAGTCTCTTTTGTCCACCCATGTACGTATTGCAAATTTTACTCTGGATCATGGTTCATGTAGCAGCGTAGACTACTGTTTTTTAATTTTATTTTTCACACACATTAATTTCATTATAACAATATTAAAGTATTATTTTAATTCTATTAAAGCTCATTTCACAATATACATTATTGCATGAAATTTATTTTTTAGTTTTATTAAAAACTAATTTAAAATTAGTATTGTTCAAATCTAAACTATTGAGGTTCCTTTTAAGTGACATAACCATAGAAAGTTTCCTTAGCTTGATGACAGCAAGGACAGACAATAGAGCATACTTTATACTATATATATATATATATATATATATATATATATATATATAGGAAATAAGCTAAGGATCCTCATAATTAATGTCAATAGGAAGCACATAACCTTTTTATTTTGAAATTACACAAACACTTCATTAACTAGCAAGATCATATCTAAGTTCCAGAACACAAAGAATACAAGACACAAAGGATACGGTTTTGGAGCCACTCTGCATGCACGATCAAACATATATAATGACTAATTCCCTAGTTAAGACATGAGTAACTCGATTTGCATACCATTATGCAACAAATTAAATGTTATTTACGCTATAACCAAGAAGGTTATCAGAAAACTTGTGCTTCATGAAGACAAGTTGTGCATTAGGAGATGCACGAGGGAAGCCCGTCAACGCCCTTAGGATATTCGTCTCGATTATTAATGCATATGTTTTATTGCATGCAGCCTGAAAAACAACTCTCTCTAATGCAGGGCATTTGGAGAAGACCGACTTAACAAAAAGAACTTCAAGCCTAGATCCATTAAACTCTTGAATCTTCACTGTTCTAAGCATCCTCATATCTTGATTAATCAAGTAACAGCCTGGATCCCCCAAATGCTTCAAAGTATCGTCTTCATAGTGGTCATATGCCTACAACTCAACAAGAAATGAAAAACATCGTACCATGAGATCGAGAACTTGAAAGAAACAAAGAAATAATAAAGAACCATGCTTCAGCCAAACATTCTTCCACAGGGTTGAGAGCATGGCCATTTTGGCAACATCTGGAGTGGGTAAGCACTCCAAAATTCTTTCTTTTAGCTCTATTGGCAGTTCACTTATCCAATCCCTTCTTTCATGTTGTGTGGTTGCCATTCGACGACGACGAATAGCCATTAAATTAAATTGGGAGTAATGATGAGGACGTTTCATTTGTTCGCTCGCTACTTCAATTCTTTTGGGGTCTTTCAGAATCAGATCAAAAGTTTAAACCATTCCAT